CCCCGTTTGCCAAATAAGTGAGAAGAGTGGCCATATTGCTGCTACCTGGTGGTACCGCTACGATGACTTTTATATTGTGAACAACTCCGTCAACTCATCTCGTGCTATGCATGTCACCACGAGCGATCAATCTGGTGATTGGTATCTAAATACAGGTGTCAACACTCATGTTATAATGATCTCTCACAGTTGAGGTCTCCGACTCCCTATCATGGCACAGAAACTATCAGTGTAGGTAATGGTAATAGTTTACCTATCACCAATGTTGGCTCAGGCTCTATTCACACACCACATGGTAAATATCACCTTCCCTCTTTTAATCACGTCCCATCCCTTACCTCAGTAAGCCGGGGTGGGGTGTTACAACCTTAAACTTAGTCTGAGTTCACCATTTCACCAAAGATAATGATTGTACTCTTGTGTTTAATGCTAATAACTTTCAGATAGTGGACAACATTACTATTTACTAATCAGGTGCGGTACAAGGGCCTTCCAAGCCCATCCCAGTTACGTGTCACGCTGTTACAACGTCCACATGGCATTGCAAACTCGGTCACCCGACTCCTGTTATTGCCAAATCTATTTTTGTCAACCTTAGGTTTTAAATTCTCTAATCAATTACATTGCGAGTCTTGTGATGTGTATAAGTCTTGTCGTTTACCGTTAGAGTTGTCTGAACATAAGGCAATTGTGTCATTTTATTTAATTCATTTTGATGTTTAGGGACGAACTTCTATTCCTTCTGTTTGTGGTTTTTGTTTTTATATTTCTTTTATTGATGACTTCAGCAAATTTACTTTGATTTATCCCCTAAAACACAAGTCTGAGACATACTCAATTTTCATTAGCTTTAAAAAAATGATTAAAACTCGGTTTAATTCAAACATTTGGATTTTTCAAAGTGATAATAAAAAAGAACTTGTGAAAACAGCTTTTGGCCTCTTTCTTTAAAACCTAGGTATTCTGCATCACACATCATGTCCATACACTCCTGAGCACAATGACATCACCGAACGCAAGCATCGTCATCTCATTGAGACCATCGTTGCCTTGCTCTACGATTCCCATATGCCCGCCTCCTTTTGAGCTGACGCTCTTGCTACTCCTAACTATTTCATCAACCATTTACCCACCAAAAATCAAGCCAACCAATCTCCCTTTGAAGCCCTTCACTGTCGTTCTCCAAACTACACTCATCTACGTCCCTTTGGGTGTCTTGTATATCCATCCCTACGACCTCACACTCATCATAAACTTTTACCACCCTCCACCCCATGTGTCTTCCTTGGTTATGATCCCACGATGAAAGGTTATAAATGTTATGACCATGTCTCTTAGAAAATGTATGTTTTTCGTTATTTTCTTTTTTTGAAGCCCAAAATTCCCTACTCTCACCCCCTATCCACTCTATCATCCTCCAATCCTCTCGGTATCATTCCCATCTTTCCCTCTCGACCAAGCTCACAAGCTCAGGTACCGCTCCGCCTAAATGTTGTCCCATCTGATCTTGCCCTTTCAACGGTCGACCAACAGGACCGTGGCCACACACACGATCGACCTCCAATTACACATCCCACTGATCCTATTCAGCCGACCACCCAGACCGTTCCACTACCCACGGTCAACCGTTCCCAACCACCCATTTTGATCCTCTAGAGACAATTCAATCCCTGGTAGTATGTCCTTTTAATTTAAAACTAGAGTGCTTTTATGGTGACATCCTTTGGTAGTAAAAAATATTTATTTTGCTCATATGTAGGTCAATAGTGAACCTTAGGTCTGCAATAGAATTTTTTCTTAAAACTATCATATTTCATATTTTAGGGGTAAAAAAATGTTACTCTCATTTTTTGATAATGAGAATGTTTTGATCGAGGTATCTTAAACTTTTATTTCAAAAAACATGGAAATAGGTTGCACCGTTCACACATATACCCCTTCCCATTCCCTGCGGTCATGTGTACTTCTATTGGTTAATATGAAGTACTCATTTCTTCCAAGTTTATTATTTTCATTCACTATTTATATGGTCAAATTTTATTTACTGTATTTGATTATTTTCACAAATTATCTCAATACTCACTCCGTCATAACTTAAATTGCTTGTTTTAGTTTACGATGTTGACTACATTTATTTTCAATGCAAGTTATTAGAAAATTAGAGTGTAATTTAAAAATAAATTTTACATATTAAAAAAACTACATCAAAAACTTTACGAAATAAGAAATGATATAGCTATATTATTTCATAAAAAGATTCATGAAAATAAGCAAAAAAAAGTGAATGGAGTCTGATCATATGAGTAATAAATATGCAACTTAATTGGAAGCTTAGTATAATTTATTAATATCGCATGTTGTTTTTTAGAACCTTTTATCTAATTTTTAAATATATAAAGGGTGGGGTTCCAGTGCCACCCTTTATATAAATTATAACCTTTTGGGACATCTCCGGTGCTCCGATATATAAATTATATGCCCGATATATAAATTATATTTTTAAATTTATGCCTACAATCAAATAGATTTACTTGAAAATAGACTCACTCAACTAGCGTAACACATAATAAGATAACCACGCATTTTGGCGGAGGAATTACTCCATAAAATATTTCGAAGTTAAAGCAATAAATTTCCAATTGCAAAGTCATTTGTCACAATTCCGTTGTAGTCTAGTTGGTCAGGATACTCGGCTCTCACCCGAGAGACCCGGGTTCAAGTCCCGGCAACGGAATTTTTTTTCGATCTTGCTTCTAAGAGCAACTCCAAAGAAAGAAGACAAAAGAAGAAGGTACTCCGTATTACTCATTATTACCTTCTCAAAAAGGTAATAATACCTTCTAAAAAATGATTTGATTCCAATGGATAGAGGATATTAGAAAAGGTAAACATACTTTTCCCAAATTAAAAGGCATTTTAGGGTTAATTTCAAAATTTATTTTTTTTTTCTTATCAAATGTTTTCTAATCTAGAGATTTTAGATTAATGAATCGGAAGATGAATTTGAGGCAATCATAGCAGCCGCACAAGGGGAAGATACGAGTTCCCGAATACAAAACTCTATCTTCCCTCCTCTTTCACTCCATTTGTTTCTTAATTTCATATCTCACAACTCTGTCTAATTTTGAAAATAGAAGATCAACAAGGCATCAAAGATTACTTGGCATTGGCATCAGATATTTTACCTTTTGTATTTGAGGAGATAAAGATACCTATCCAAAATAGAAGAAGGTAAATTACCTTCTGATTTACCTTCTCCATTGGAGGTTTGATTTGTGTGAAGAAAAGGCAAATATGGCAATTATGGTATCTTGCCTCTTCAGTTGCTCAAAGAATTCTGTATACGGAGTTATTTAAAACCTAAAAAATACAAATTTGCCTTTTTTGTTTGCTGTTGTTATCTATTTAGGACAACATAAAACATTAGACTACAACTTTTTAAAATTTTATAGTTTTTTCAAATCATTCAAATGATAAAATACATTTCTAAGTTGCACTTAAATTTTCATTAATGTTATTGATTTTAGTTGCACTTTAATTTAACTCTTGCACAAGTTTTATTTTGAGTTCCATTTATAAAAATGATTAAATATTTAAATTACGATTATATATGTAAAAATACTAACCATTTGCTTTAAAATTTTGATAATGACTTTCATTTTCTTCTCTAACTCAAAAAATTTAAATTGTCAAAATTATCTGTTTATTTTTTTTACAATAGTAAAATAGGTATGACAAAATTGTTACTCCCTCCGTCCCAAATTATAATGCATGTTTACTATTCACAGGGTCAAACTTCATTCACTTTCTTTCTCTATTTTCGTGAGCAATTTGATAAAATAAAATATTATTGTTACTACTATTTTTATAGATCTTTTGATGTAGTTTTTTAATATATAATTTTTATTTTTTAATTCTATACCATTTGTCATATAAAATGGTTTGAAAATAATTTCAGTCAAACATCGTAAACCGAAACAGACGTTATAAAATGGGACGGAGGTAGTATTATTTTGATTGTTGTTTTTGTGGTTGATGTTGCTGCTATTGTTATTAATACCCAGAGTATTTGTCCAAAGAAATTGAGTATATGATTAATATCTCCCTTATTATATAAACACCAATAATTTTAAGTCTCAAAATTCTGGTCTTTTTTCCGTTAAAAAGTTTTCCGGCCGTTAGGATTTCACGACATATAGCTTGACTTGTTTTTTTCCGGACGTCAAAAGAACTCGAAAAAGTCAAAATGGATAAATAAATTTGGACGAAGGTAGTATATACTTGTAATGTTATCTGTTGAAGCAATCTTCGAGTACCATAATTTAATCCCAGTTGATGTATGTTGCCTTTTGATGTATGTGTTTAATGTTTTTGTTTAGTTGTGTGAGAAAATTTACAATGAGAATGGCTATTCCATCACATCTATAAAGAGCCATAAAGGTGAATAATATAGGAATTTCGAGTTTGAAACATATTGTGATGAATTCGGAATTTCTCATAACTTAACCACTCTCAGAATTCCTCACCAATAATTGAAAGAAATAATCATACGCTTCAAGAGATGTCAAGAACAATGTTAAACGAGCACAGGCATGAAGCACCCATTTGAAGTGTTCACCATTTCTTTAATCGTTTGATTTTTTCGAGTCAAACTAAGTCTCAGTGCATTCGTCCAGTTTGATTTTTTCGAGTCAAACTAGACAACTTTAATCGTCAATTACTCTCAATTTGTATTACATATTAATACAATAAAATCCATTTTTGAAAGTTCTCAATAAGATAATTCTAATGAAATATTTTTTATATTAATATCCATTGCAATTTTTATTCAATTGAGGTCCAAAAATTTATCCAATTTGACTTGAAAAAATCAAACTAGACGAATACACTGAGATGGAGGTAATATTTATTAATATAGGACACAATTTGCCGGAAAATCAAATCAAATTCATTTCCTAGTAGAAGCATTTAACAAAGTCAGCTGATAAAAAATTGTAAAACTAATGTGTAAACATTTATAGAATAGAAAGAAAAAACAAGAGATATTACAGCTACAAGCCAGTGAAGCCATACCCGTTGATACTTTTATGTTGGAAGAGGGATGGCATATTGTGCTTTTTATACGTTTCGTGAAGTCCAAGAGCTTGTCATCGATGCATTCAAGTTTCCAAGATTGCACCTCCCTAGCTTGAAGCCTGGCCAGAGATTTTGAGAGTTTCGAGAAACTGGAAGCCGTTTTTGGAAGATTGAAACCCTGTGCTATATATTACCTCATTCTGTAGCATCATCGGCAAGAAGAGACTGTGAAATTGAGAAGGATACTGCTGATGTTTTAAGTAAGGCTGCCATGCAAGCCTGGGAGTTGGGTTTTCCTTCGAAATAAGGACTAAACCGAAGAAGAACGTGTGTTGCATGGTACTTGGCACTCCAAATGATCACTATTTTAATCTACAAACCTATGACTATGTAGTGTGCAGAAAGGAGTAAGTTTCAATGGTGGCTTACAAGGACGGTGATGAAATGTTATCATTTTCCTCCATTTCCTTCCAGTGCTGCAAAATCTCATATGCAGACGGCTCCTCTGTTTCTTCCGAATCTTCATTGTCAGTTGTTGTCACATCCACATTTAGCTCCTCAAACTCATTGGAATGATCATCATGTATCAAACCTGCAACTCGACTGTCTTTGCCAGGTTTTATATCACTACCAACCCTAGAATGTAAGTTGTTCGAACCACGACCTCCCAAGAGAGACTTTAGTGCTCTACACAAGTTTAAGATGGTAGCTTCAGTTCTCGTGCCCTGTATATGGAGAGTTTCTAACAGTTCTTGAAGATTAGCACTCCTCACCCTTTCCTGATTGCTCTCAAAGAGCTCAATCCACTCTTGTTCGGTGATTTGGTACGGTGCAAGAGCCAGCATGTTGATAACGATGACAGCTCTTTCGTAATCGCACTGTGAGGTTGCATTGCATACAATCTCAGTGAAGAATGACGAAGGAGGCACCATACCAGCTTCTAAAATTGCGTCAAATGCATGATCTAGTAAATGTCCCTGTATCAAGATGGAAGTAAGAAAGGTGCAAATGTGGAGAGGCAGCACAGCCTGCCGTACCAAAATCAGTTGTCGCAGCTCCATTTTCATTTGTTAGTTTTTTTATTTGGGGGGTGGGGGTGGGGGGCAGACCTAGAATTTTGTACAGATAAATGCTATAAAGGATCTACAGCAAAGTTGCAAAGGTAATTTTACCTTCCCGGCTTTTGAGGCATCCACTAGTAGGTATGCATGTTTCTTGGTATCAAGCTGATATCCAACTAGGGTCATCTCCTTATAGACACTATCAAAATACTCCCATTGCAGTGCACGAGCAGATGCCTCGAGCATTGAACTGAAAGTGTATACATCTGGGCAAAGACTACTTTGAGAACCAGCATTTACTTTCTTCGTGAACTCATATAATTCCTTGGCTTCAAGAAACATATCATTACGACCATAAACTTTCAGCATGGCATTTACTATTCCAATGTCAGGTTCACAACATTTTTTGCAGTGCTCATATATTGATATGCAATTGTCAGTGTGTCCGCCTTCCATTGAAGACAATATCATTCCAGTGAAGGTAACTGCCAAAGGTCTATCCTGACAAAGTCTTTTTAGCTTTTCAATCTGTAGCAACATATCGAAAAAAATCAACCTTTATCTTTGTCAATCATCAAGCTTCATTAGCATATAGTTGGATAACAATAAGAAACATTACTTAAAGAAGACTTATGTTCATCCTTATGGAACTAAAAAAAATTGCAGTGAAACTGACAAGGCAATTGTAAGCTACATGAAGAAATTCAAGTATCATTTTGCTCCACTTTTATTCCTCATGTAATAAACTTCAATATTTTTAATGGATGTCATGATCATCTTAGCAAAACACTAGGGGATATGAAAATGTTAAAGAACTGTTGAAAACAACTTCAAATGACATTGAAAGTCTATAAAAGGGGAACGAGACCAAAATAAACTTAAATTTTTTCAACGAAAATTCTGAACATATAATTACTATCTAGATTTGAGAAACAAGGTTAGGATCTAATTATAGAAGTAAAAAAATGATAGGGCTGGCTTAGAAGACATTCTACTATAGAGGAACGTTTGAGAAGGGATAATGACAGCAATGTGATTGAAATGTGAACTTTAGTATTTCTAAAACATTCTAGAATGTTGGATGCAGACGGTGATGGTCGTGGTACGGAATTCACTTGAGCCTGCGGGTTACCAACAAATTAAGCAAAAGAGTAGAAACTGGTGGGGTTTAGGGTATGTTCTCTTCAACTTATTCTTATGACTTATTACTTATCTTTATTAGAATCAAATAAGACCGGAAAAGTTCAGATCTGACTATATCAGAAACATATACAATTTTTAATTGAATTTTAACTATAATGAGATTAGATCAGAGCAAAAAAACAAGTCAGGAAGAATCAGATCCAATCATCTTAATAAATTTAGATCAGATGAAGAGAACATGTTCTTAGACAATAAGGCAACAGTAGGTACTCGTCAAATTGCAGTTTTTGAAGAAAACAATTCGAAAAAAGAGTTTCTACTGAGCAAAGAGAGCAACTTCTTCTATAATCTATACTTGTTGCATTTTTAGATTCTAGTGATTTAAAAGATAATCACAAAGACTAGGCCACCCTTAAAAACCTTCGAAACTTACCTCGAAGAAAGCACCTTCCAACTTTCCATGATAGCAAAGGCAACAAGCTAATTCATAATATACACAAGGAGTTCCAAGAACTCCCCTTTGTTCCATTTCCCTTACAGCATGAACAGCTTCATTGACTTTGCCTTCTTCCCATAAGGTTTTGACAAGAACTAGATTCAAGAAAGCAACTGCTGAGCTAGAAAAGAACAAAAACTTACATTACATTATTGTGACAGTTCAGGGAACAATACCTTTGTAAGTAATTGCCTTGTCAGCAAACCCGCTTCTTTTCATTTTGTCAAAGAACTCATGGACAAGGTCATACTTCCTAGATCGCAGCATCACCTTTCAACAAGAATTGAGTGTGAAGCTTAAAATACTACCTTACAATGCAATTGCAGTGTAATAACAGCCCAAGCCTAAAATTTGTGTTTTATGTACTCCTTATGTTTTTTCACTGCACCTGTAGAGTGCTTTATATGAATCAAACATAACAATGCCACGAGAAATTGAAAAGAAACTAAGAGTAAAAAGAAGAATGAAACAAATGTCTTTTAAGTCAAGACGTTCATCATACAATATTGCATCACCTATCTTTACTCACCACCATGTTATTATGTTTTGCATAAAAGTTGAAAAAACTTATGATGATAAGAAATTAGAATTTCAGCTCATTGTTCCTTTGTAAGAACTAATAATGTTTAGACAGGAAGGTTATCTAGCATTAAACACTGTCACTGTGCTTTTTTCATGAATATATAGTGTATTAGAGTTAACTAATTTGAGATGATCTATTGACACTAGAACTTTAATGTCGCCGATGCCAATATGGTTGGAGTTCAAGCGATGCTGTTGTTGTAAGAAGCATTTTATTAAGAGAGTTTAGGTTCGAAGACAAATCAAGGTACCTATTGCATTATCCAATTATAATGAGGCCTTTAAGAAATATGAAATGTTCCACAGTAATTATATATAGCTAGGTAAATGAATACCTCCATTGCAAGTCCATAAGTAGCTCCATTGGGCTTCAAACCATTGCTCCTTATCTGTTGAAACACCCAATGCACTCCTCTCCATTGGCAAGATGGGACACAAGCATTTAAAACCTAACAAACCATTACGATCAACGCAATCAGATGAAAAAGTATATTGCGGAGTTAAATCAGATAAGAAAATGATGCAAGAAATCACTGGTCACCTACTGCATTATATATGACAATATCTGGTTGAATGACAGGGTCCCAGTTTTTGTGTTTCACAGTTTTAACTTTCTTCGGTTTTTCTTTCATGCGGTCAATAATTTTGATCAACTCTTTAAGAAGACCAGCTTGGCCAAGTAGAACACACACACTACGGTAGGCAGCCATGTCGGGATAAATTTTGGCATCCCCCTACATATGATTTCAAAAAAGATATTATCATAATTAGTCATGATACATATAAATTCAGGGTTTTAAATTGCAGATGCAGCTGCCGCTGCGATGTGTGGTGTGGCGAAGGCGTGCAACAATTCTATGTTCACATAAAAAATGTAATACGTGATGTGGTCTGCAATTTAATACCTTGATAGAGTCATACTCATTTAGGAGCAACCATAAAGATTATGAGATTTTTGTAATTACTCTCATCAAATCAAATACTTCAAGAGCTTCACGAGGCCTCCTACATCTTCCCAAAACTGCCAAGAGCTTTGTATAAACAAACCTAATTAAAGAAGTATGCTTAACATCCCCTATTAAAAAATGCACCATAGTTTAAACTTTACCAGTAAAGTAAGGCAGTAACCCATAGAAATCAATAAAATGGTTACCTGCTTTTGTAATGTATGTGCTCCTTTGAGTCATAAACCCATTTAACAACAGACAATGCGTGCCTCCACTCTCCTCTGTCCCCAAGACCTTCAACTAATCTCAGCATTTGGCGTTCTGTAAACTGCAATCCGGTGTATTTCATAAGCCGTGAAAACTTATAATTCTTCGCACTCATTTCTGTACCGCTCAGTCTACAATGTGCACAGAAAACAAGCAACGACTAAAGAATCAAACCATCTGGATGACCGAATTCACTTGTCATACTTAATTTTTCGGAAATGCTTGAAAATTATACATACTTGTCGATAAGAAACCGTATTGCCTCGGGTTCGCTTCCTTTGAACTTTGGTGGTACCCAATTTGACCTCTGATTATCAGACCACCCTTCTTCAATCTCGACATCTTCATCGAGAATCCATCCGTACTTTTCTCTTTCACACTCGATGATATCACGGAGTTCCCTCAGAGGCTCACCCCTTAAGCTGTCTCCAGAATGCTGCATGTTTTCTCTTGAAAGTACTTGCAATTGAAGCTTGTCAAGCCTCTCCCACGGCCGTCCGATGAGTTTCCCCTCATTTTTCGCATTCACGGCTCCTAGGAAGCTTCGGTACTCGGATTTGATGGTCTGGAAGTGAAACTCTTCCTCTAGGGTTTGTTTCTGGGCGTCGGTAAGAGGCGGTGGCTCCTTGGCGGCCTGTTTGGCCGCGCGGCGATTGACTTTCTGGCGGTGTTTTTTGCAGATGTTGTGTATGATTTTGGGAGTTGGGACGACGCCATTTTTGAGAAGCTTTTGCTTTATCCTTTCAACGTCGGGTTTCTCAGGCTGTAACGGTGGGCGTGGAGCTCCGGCGGATACTTCCATGGAAATCAAGGCTGCGCTCGCTCCGGAGGAACTGCTGAATGGATAAGGCTGCGTTCGCTTAGGAGGTTCAAAGTGCGTCTGGTGCCGGTCTAAATCCTAGGTCGGATGTACGGCAAAGACGATCGTCGGGAAAGTCGCCGGACTGATGAATTCCCAGTATTTTGCCCCAAAATGAGCATTTTGTATCATTATTGTGATATTCTCAATTTTGAAAAAATGAGTATTCCATTTTTCAAAAACAATTCATGTATCCTTTTTTCCACCTCTAACCAAATATTTCTATTTTCTATTAAAAATACTAATTTTACCCTTATTTTTTATACCGTACCTAGTATATCATATTTTTTCCATAATAATCTATTCATCACATCTTATTTTTACTCATAAATTGGAAGTCAACTACTCCATACAATTTAACATTTTCTTATTTTTATACTTGATCAAACTTGGAATCCTTTTAAGAACGAAGGGAGTATACACTTAAATTGAAAAGAAGATTAAATATATTTTCAGTTCCTATAAAGTAAATGAGTTTTATTTTTTATTTTTGTAAAACATTTAAATTACTCAAGTTATCATTACAAACAAACTTTAATTAGAAAAAGCTCTTAAATTAGCACGTTTAATAAATTAAGATACCACGTTTATTTAATAGTATGGGCCTGTTTGAGAATAGAGTTAAAAATTAGCGTTAGCGTTTTAGATAAAATTTTAACAGTGCAGATGACTTTGAAAACGCTAACGCTAAACGTTGCCCGTATATAGCTTTTTCAAAACGCTAACGTTATTTCCAAACATGCACATAGAACATTAGTACTTAACATTTTATTCTTACATGTCTTAATTATATTTTTCTCACAAATATATATATATATATATATATATATATATATCCCAAATTCTTAAATTTTTTAGAAATAAAATATAATAGTATTTAGGAATTGAATATTTAATTTGATAAGGAATGAAATTTAGGCATAAAAATTGTATAATTTAAAAATACAATTTATATATTTAAAAACTGCATAAAAAACTTTACATGATAAGAGATGACACGAGTTTGTTATTTTTTAAAATGACTAATTTAAATAAATAGAAGTGATTAAAGTTTGACCATAAAAATAGTAATTATAAGGATGGATAGAGTATTAGTTAAGTAAATTTTAAAATGTGAATGAAATACAAAATATTTTATGTTTTTATTATTTGTGTTTCAAGGTTCATTTTTATTAAAAAATAATTGGTTAAAATTCAGATTTATTTATTAATTGCACACTGATTGAAGAATGTTTGAAATGAACATGAATCACTCCACACTTTTTTTTTCTCAAATGCAAAGCATACTCTCACCTACCAATCTGGAATCAAAATTATTTTCTCTTAGTAATTATCTGGTCGGATCTACGACATATGTCACATGCATAGTTTTGATTTTGAAAATCAGACTGGGGTGGCGGGTTCGGACGGGAAACCGATGAACAAGAATCCATATCCATGAACCGTCCTCATGTCAAGATATGCACCAACTAAGCAAGAATGTTTTTGTTACATAATTGGTCCAAATAGTATATATTCCATAATTAAAAAAAGAAATATGTATCAAAAGATTTTTTTTGTTAGAACTTTGATAAATATGATTTTATAACTAGGATTCAAAGTTTTTAAAAATACAATTGATACTAATACGAAAAAATTTAATGAAAAAAAAATTCATTCATTGCTTTTGGAATATATTTGACAAAATATGTGAACTAATGAACGCATCTCTCATTTTATAGAATTTTTTATTTAATTTTAATACTTTTAACTTTTAGATTTAAATCTAATTTCACTAATCAAATAAATTAAATTGATTACAATTTCTATCAAACATCATAATTTTCATATAAACACAAAAGGAGTATTATTTTTATTATTATACAAGTTATATAGAGTTAAGTGCACATTTTACCCCCGAATTATTTGAAAATTGCATGGTTTACCCCCGAACATTAAAAAGTGCACCAAATACTCCTGAATTCTTCAGAAATTGCACGGTTTACCCCTGAACAATAAAAATTGCACCAAATACCCCTGAACTCTTCGAAAATTGTACTATTTACTCCTGAACATTTAAATAAAGACGACAATTTTGGGTAAAGGTACTTTGGAAAATTCACAAGAGTCAGATGTATCATATTCGCAATTCTTGTGCGTGGAAGCAATGCCCTCCCTATCTAATAGTTTAGGACCAATGATGCAACGTTTTAATTTGTTCAAAGGTATTTGATGTATTTTTTAGTCTGCAGGGGTAAATCATGCAATTTTCAAAGAGTTCAGGGGTAATTGGTGCACTTTTTAAAGTTCAGGGGCAAAACATGCAATTTTTAAAAAGTTTGGGGGTAAACGGTGCACTTAACTCCAAGTTATATATGTGTGTGTGTGTGTTTAAACTTTAAACTACTCGTTTGACCGCTTAAACTATCAATTCAATTAGTGAATCAGTCTCTTGACCCGTTCTATTGTGGGTCTGATTTTGAAAACAATAGTCAACATGACCTCATTCAAAATGCCCCAAAGAAAAATTAACCATGTTAGGAGTACGCCAAGAAATATATTTTAAGTTGTACTATAAAAGTTCACATTGATATAAAATGATAGTGTAATAAAAAAATTGTATTGACATTTTGTATCATTGTAAACCATGACACTAGCATTACACGAGTATAAAATATTATTGCATGCTTTTGTGGTACAAAGTGGGCAAATTATATCGTAAGCCACGGGAGTTGAAGCCGCTCCTCTGTTCGCCGAGTCGGGCCACCGGAGACGAAAGACATTAGGGGTGGGCACGGATCGGGACGGTCCGGATTTTAGGTTGTCCCACGTCTTGTCCCGTTATATATAAACGGTCCGGAACGGTTTGGATTACAATCTAATCCCGGTTTGTCTCATAAAATTTGGGATCGGAACAAAACGGGACGGATTCGGGTCGTCCTACTTTGTCCTACTCACAAATATAAGAAGGGGAAGAGGGTGACATTTCATTTTAAAAAAAGAAACATCTAGTCATCCAACAAAAAACAATGAGTGGAACGAATCCAAATAAATTTCAAGCTCATGAAGCTAATTTAATTAAATAACTAATTAATTAAAGAATGAGTGTATTTGGATTCTGGACTAGAATTAGTATTATATATTAGTAGAGTAGATGAAACGGGACAAACGGGATGGATCGGTATAAATTTAAGCTGTCCCGCTCATGTCCCATTTGATATTGGGACGGAACGGGTTCGGGACAAAAAAATTGTGTCCCAATATATCGGTACAATTACAAAACGGATCTGGGATTTTTCGGGACGGTCCAACGGGAACGGATTTCACGCCCACCCCTAAAAGACATGGAGTAGCGAAGACGAAGAAGGTGGAGCAGCGAGGATGACGAGGAGTGATGGTGGCGAAAATCCGTTGAAAACAATAGAGAAGGAAGATTGAGCAGGGAAGGTTGTCATTGCGTTACAAAAAGAGGTTGATCGAAGAAGAAAGGAGAGGCCTCGAATGAAAATCCTAGTAGAGTGGAAGCGCTGAGTGAAAGGTTATTTATGAGTTTTATTTTATTTGAGAATGAGCATTATGTCATTTGAAAATGAGTACTATTTTAATTTAGAATAAACATTACGTTATTTGTGGATAAATATTATAATTGTAATAAATAAATGTGTGAAAATGAGCACTATATTATTTCAAAATAAGTATACGTTATTTTAGAATGAGTACCACGCTATTTCTAAATAAATAGTTATGTTTATGCAAGAATAAGTACTACTCTATTTTAAAATGAATACTACCCGAATATACCTTCTCTACCAAGTGGGGTATAATTTTTGAGTAGTTTAATTCATGAAAAATCCACGAGCCATCATCTCCCCTCAGCGCCCTAATCCTTACCCTAATTTGGGTTTCAGCTAAACTATGGCGGAGCTACAGAGCATGGGAATGTTAATTGACATTGTTGATGAAGAGTGGATGAGAGATACTCTGCCGAATGATGGCATGCCACTTTTCCCCTAATTCGATTTGCAATGCCCTAATTTTATTGATTTTTTTGAATACGGAAATACTAAGCTTTATTTGATTCCTGGTTGCAGATCCGCCGGTCCAGCCAATGTTGCTTCCCCGAACTGAAGATGCCGAGGATACAAGTAAGATTTCCGTGGAAAATCCTGAAATTTCAATTGTTTTTTTTAAATTCTTGCTTACACCCTAAATCAATAAAATTAGGGTTCTTAAGACTGTTTGCTAGTTTGCAAAGGTTCTTCTATCGAATGCTTTGGAAATTTAAGTTTAATGTTGTAGTTTGTGAATTATTACTTTCAAAAAAAAATTCGAGCTAGAAATTCATAGGAAAATGCTCTTAGTATTTGATTATGGATTGCTCACATTCCACAATCATTGTCTATTATCATAACCTTTAGTGAATAGATCCGTTGCGTTCTAAACGAGGGTGTATGGAGCCAGCTATTTCTGCTTATTGTTCATTTTGCACATTTAAACTTTCTGCTCAATTTTTACAAATAACCTTTTAGATGAGTTTGTTCTTTGCTTGTAAATTGAAATCTTATGAGTGTTGTGTTGTTGATATTGAATCCAATCTTTCATTATGTGATTACTATGTTTGGTGGGAATTTTTGTAAAAGTATCACAGATTTCTTAAAGTAGAGTTCGAGTTGCACTCCCTTTTTGACCAGAAAACTAGAAAAGAAGATTCTTCATGGTGTTTATACCTTTATAGAGAAGATGAAGATAACAACAACAAAATCTGATATATTACCAACACCCATTGGTCACAGGATGTACACAACTTTACCCTTGTTTATAAAAAAAATTTATTTCAGCTAGAACGTTGATGCATCTGCTATGCAAAATGTCATAAAAAGTACTCCGTAAAAAATTCTTAGAAATCTATATAGAAATCGTCTTGTGAATCCCATGAATGAGATTCTAAGAAACTATGGCTGTCATTTAAAGTGGTGAGGAGACATTTCCTTTGCTTGTTAAGATCTTATTGCTCAAAACATTTAAACCATCTTATTGTTCAAGCACCGGCCTTTGTGTCACGACATTAAACTTCATGAATGTTTAATTTGTGTCCACTTTCCTTTTGAATCTCATCATCTCTTCAACTCCATATGCTTATGTCTCGGACTCCCACAGTCTCCTCCATACTTCTTTAGTTTTTGTGTGGAAACTCATTTCCCTCTTTTAAGTTGAAGACCGGAAGCATGTATCATATCTCACATGAATAGACATGGCTGGTTGTTTCACAATAGAATCAAAATTACATCTTCTCTGTTTCTCAGAGTTGGGATTATTACCCATGTTGAACTTTCAATTGATAAATATTCAATCTAACGATGAAAACTTGCGTCTTTTCCAGACCAAGAGAGGAAACAAGTTGATGCTGACACTTGGCATGATCTTGCATTGGGAAATCAACGATGAGCCAGCAAGTTAAAGGCTCATTACCTTATCCAACATAGTACGGAAGATCCATTGTCCATCATTAGCTGCTTGTTTGTCGATTATCAATGTGGTATGTGGTGGGTGTTCTTTACCATTTTCTGTAACTCTAACTTGGGATGTATGTATGGACCGTACAACTTTCTTATCGTTTGAGATGAATCTGTTTATGTACCCCTTTTGATGTTTTAGATTTAGAGTTGTATTCTTCATTAAATTACAAAAATTCTCATTTGAATTGGAGGTTCTGCAATCAAAAGTGGAACCTCTTAGAGTCCCATCCATCTTTGTGTGGAAGAGAAAGAGTTTGAAGGTTAGCTAATCTTAATATAGCAAGTAGGAAGATGATATTTGGCCGGAGGGAGTACTTTGTAGCTAGACCCCAAAAATTTCAAACCACTAAGGACTCACTTGGTAAGCGAAGTAGAATTCATATGTTATGGGTTCTCAAATTTTTTAAAAAAATGATATGGGTTGTGAAATGATGGTTAGTAACATGCCGGGGTAGCCCACTGATTGGCTAGCGATGATAGATCACTATCAACGATTGGTTGTTGAGAGAGATATCAAAAAGTGCCATATTGATGGCTCAAAATCGAAAGATATCAAGTTATCATAATTTGAAAGGATTGTAATATCTAGATTTTTAAAATTGAGTCGTATTTAGGGTTCATTAAACACCCTAAAAAGGTGTACTTGTATTTTTTGCTTGCTTGCCAGATGATACCAAAAACTATTTTAATAATATTGTTTTTGTCGGATGGATCATTATTTTAATAATCATTTTTTTGTTTGTGTGAAAAATGCTAAAGAGTGGTTTTAAGAATCACTCGATTTGTACGAGTGCATTCATCAGATATGAGTTTATAATTAGGTGAACGAATTTTGGTCATTAATTAAATAAAAAGGACCATGCTACACTTACACCAAAAAATATACCCCATTTGTACACCACAAGTTTGCACAAACATTTCGATGGTTTACACCGACACAAGTGTTGGTGCGTTTATAAAAATTCACACGGACACAAATGTTAGTGCGTTTAACAAAAATTAGTTTTACACCAACACAAAGTGTTGGTGCAAAACTACGAGATACAAATTGGGGTACAAAACTTGGGGTACATATAACATAGTCCAAATAAAAATTATGTGCAATACCTATTCAAAAGTATTTTACATAATTAAATATAATGAAATCTTTTTTACACTGAAAAACTTAGTATTGTTAAACGGCCATATAGCTCCGTTACCCCCTGTGGTTTGGAAAATTGGCACCAATACCCCCTCTGTTTTTAAAACTTAATTCTAAAGTCCTCGTGGTTTCAAAACGTTGCACCCACACCCCCTCTGATCATTTTCCGGCCATTTTCCGGCGAAGAAGGGGCATTGGCGCATAATTTTTAAACCATAGGGGGCATTCGTGCTCATTTCTTATTTTTGTTTATTATTCTTCCCTTTTTTTAAATATTTTTTATCTCTTTTTCCTTTTCCTAAATTTTTTTAAATATATTTTCAATTTTTTATAATGTTTCAAAAATTTTCAAATTCTTTGTGTTTGAAATGAAAATAAAAATAAAAAAATTAACATATATTACATCTATCTCAAATTAAATATTTTCACTCTTTGTTACTTAGAATAATTTTTTTGAAAAGTTCAAAAAAAAAAGAATAAAAAATTAAAAATATGGAAAAACGAAATGAAAAAAAATTAAAATACGCAAAAAAAGTCTTATACAAAAAATTAGACATGCCTAAAAAAGTCCATAGAATTAGGATGTCCAAAAAGGATATTCATTTTTATTTTTGTATTAATTTGTTTCTTATTTTATTCCTCATTTTTTTGAAGTTTTTAAAAAAAATTACTTTTTTTCAGAAAAAACAAAAATTGTTAATTTGAGAAGTACATATGCATTATATGTTATTTTTTCAAACAAAAATAACTTTAAATTTTAAGAACATGATAAAAATAATTTTAAAAAAAAACCTTTATTAATAAATGAAACAAAATAAGGAAAAAATGGAAAGAACAAAAAATATGCGAGAAATAAAAATCAGCACTGATACCCCCTATGGTTTAAAAAATATGCATCATTGCCCCTTCTTCGCCGGAAAAATGGCCGGAAAATGACCAGAGGGGGCACGAGTGCAACATTTTGAAACCACAGGGACTTTAGAAATGAGTTTTGAAAACAGAGGGGGTATTGGTGCTTATTTTGCAAACCACGAGGGGTATCAGCGCTATTGGCCCATTGTTAAACAAAAAAACAATAACTCCACCTCAACGGCTCAAAGGGTCAAGAGAGAGGACCAAATAATTCTGCGTACAAGTTGAACGTACTCTCCATCTCCTATACTTTTCCTCTTGTATGGGACTTGGCACACTTCTTGATAAAGTAAAAATAATAAAAATAATGTACACAGAATTGACAGAATTGAAATTGAATTGAGAGTTGAAATTATATTGGATGTAATTAAATTTTTCAATTCTAATTCATTTTTGGCACTACCAATTTCAAATCCACATATTTTAGTACTACCAAACAGCAAATGTCTTTAATTCCAATCTCATAGTATCAATTCTGTGTACCAAACGAAGCCAAAAAAGATAATCATGAGACAGAGCATGTTCCACATATCCAACCTAAATCAGTTTCCACTTGTCAGTTATCATTGTTCAAGTTAACACACAACTGACTTTAATTGGAAGAACAATCTTACAACCTCAAAACTATATACAGTAGTTTTTGTTCCAATTCTTCTTCTTCAACTACTACAACTGGGATGAGATGTTCCTTTGCTTAGGTTTTTCAGGGGGGAGTCTTTCCATCTCAAATTTATCAGGGCCAGTGGTAGAGCAGCCTTGGGACCCACCAGTTCCGGCCTGTTCGTTTAGTTTTCTCTTCGCGTACACAGTGAAAGCAGAAGTAGTGATGATTGCAACGATGAACGAAATAATGTCCGCTATGATCTCCACAGGAGTTAGGTGATGGTTCCCGTATTCGACATCGGCAAATGTTCTGATAAGGCGCCCACTGCAGACAAATAGAACAAAGGTTTGAGATGAATATGTTGGAACACTAAATGGGATGGCATCATTGTGTTGTATGGCCATTCGGGTCACACCAAATAGGAAATTAACAATAACCTCCTTAATAGTTTGAGTTATTCTATGGTACAATAACATGTAAATGAATATTGCACAATTATTTCTCAACAGAGTTTTATATCCTCAATAGTGAGAAACAAATTACTCTCGGGTATTTGCTAAGTGAAACTTTTGTGCTAAGTAAACACAAATGAGTGCTCAGTAAACACAAACTAGTGCTCATTATGTGCACGATAATTGCACACTAAAACAACTTATATGCTTGCTAACAATGAAGTAATTGCGCAATAATTCCGTGGACGTAAAGTACATTAGTTATTTGTATCACCTGTATATATAGAGGAAGGCTTCCGGAATCATTCCTGCAATTGAACCCCACAAATATGGCCAAAATCTCATGCTTGTAACTACAACTGCATAATTAAAGATGGTGTATGGAAATGGTGAAATCCGAAACAACGCAACCACTTGAAATTGGTGAAACGAACTCCCCTCTCCAGCCAATCTAATAATATCAGCTTGTTGTGGCCATTTTTTTAGCCATTGCTGCAGAACCAACAAATGGAGTGCAAGAAAGCATTTGAAAAAGAAGGGAAGCATAAAGTCCAACATCAGTAATCAACCAAGGCAATATTAAGGCTTACGTGGATCCGGTCTCGGAAGATCAGACCAATCAAGTAAGGAAGGAGCATTCCAACAGTTGTTCCAATCATGATTAAAACAAAACCGAGACCATATCCAAAGATCATTCCAGCTAGCCACATCGAAGGGGCCGAAGGGATCAAAAGCACCGGAAAAAATGCTAATGAAGCAACAAGGATGAGTGCTAGCACTGGACGGCCAAATGACGTGGCTTCCCATTCTAAGATAGGTACTAGTACCTATATATGGGGGGAAAAATAAACGTTTAGGGTTCAATGGACTTGCGTTTGAGTTGAGATGAAGATATCAAGATAGGGCAACAATAAAATTGCACACCTTCTCGAATAGAAAAGGAACTCCCCACTTTATGAAGACCAAGAGAACTACTATACATACACTGCACCACATAAATGCATTCATCCACCATTTCAGGGCTCTTTGTCTGGTTTCTAGGGGCGACTGCAACGTAAATGATGTTTCGCTAACTGCTGGTTCGTTGTTTATAACTAGCCTAACATATTCACTGTCTTCTTTTACGTGGCTCCCACTATTTGAATGTTTTCTTTCTAAACCTACAGCTGACTCCGCCATATTCTATTTCAGACCAGAAACCTGCAATTAGAAATGCACAAGTGGAATTCATTAACTTCATATTCTTGCAGGGCAGGATGTCATAAGCTAGATAATCAATGTCACTATCAAAAGTCCGTTGAAAATAAATCATATATTTCCTCCCTCCATATTTAAATACCCACTTTGGCCGAGCATGGGATAAATAGTATTAAAATTGCGGCTAATACTTATATTGAAGGGAGAGAAAGTAATATGGACCACGCATTGCTTTTGTTAAAAGGAAATGTTTGATGTTTTTGAGACTGAAGGAAAATAATATAGTGACCAGAGAGCATAATTGTTTCTCATTCAATTCGCTAGCTTAGTCGCAAATACTTGCAAAAAGGTTGTAATCCCAATTTGGCCCTCAATGTGTTCGCATTGTAAAGTGTTACTCAAAATTTCTACATTTGGGTCCACTTCCCAAATCAAGTGATCCAGTCATAATTTTATAATTAAAGACTAACGTGACCGTGTTAAAGGGTATAAAAAGGCATTAATGCATTACTCGTTGATACAAATCACATACAACATACGTAGTATTTGCTTCAAAATCGGAACATTTCACTGTCTATAATACGTAGCTAAATCAATTAATTGATGTCATTCCCCTTGGGATAAGATAGTGCCCTTCATAACAAACATACATCCCCTTGATTAGTCCAAAGAAGTGAGTTGGGGATAAATGATGGATGGAGAAGCGGAGATGGGGTAGAAAGTGAATTTTATGCTTGGATTGATGAAGGCAAGGAGAGGAAATAGTACTCCGTATTTTAGAATAATATGTTAAAGTATTGTATTTGATATAATTTTTGTTGTGATAAAAAAAATAGTAATGTATATGTAATGAGGAGTTTGGATGATTTTATAGGTCCTCCACTCTCATTCCCCCTAACTTCACACACTAAATGCACCCGAGTCCTTCATTTCTCTTTCCTTCCCTCCAAAATCCTCCAACCAAACAAGGCTATTATGAAAGAGAATTGATCTAATCCAAAACTAGTATTCATCCCAAAATAATTGACGTTTTAGAGAAATCAATACTTATCAAGTAACCTAACAAAATGACTTTTCTTTACTTATTTGCGCTCAATTTTAAATGCATATTATATCATTTCAATTTTCAAAAGTCAAAAGCATTAGGTGGAATTAATGAGGACAAAGTTGGAAGATTAGTACTACAAAATATCAAGCATTGGATTCATTAAATGTCAACTATTTTAGGACAAAACCCATTGCCTAAAACATTACATAGTACATCATAACTTGAAAAGGAGTAACAGGAGATTTATATTCAACAAAAATTACACCAGAAACTCCACCAGTGTACACATATTATACTGAATCAGCAAATTATTGACTTGTTTGTCAATATTACAGAAGTTTCCCAAGTTCAAACACGCTATGTAATTAAACACTAGTATCAGAGATCTGTAAAATCAATGATAAACCCTCAACTCCCATCTCAAATTCAAACTCGAAAAGAACACAAAAAAGCCCCAATCCCAGTTTTTTAAAACAGAATTAACACAAAATCAAACTCATAAACGCTCTCAATCGAAGAAACAAGAAGAAAACGGGCAGAAAGGGCATCCAATCCCTAATTATCCCATCAAACAGAAGTGGCCAGGCAAGAACTAGATCGAACCAGATAGAGAGAGAGAGAGGGAATCGAGTACCGGACGGAGTTGGAAAGGCGATTGGCAGCTGTGATGAGTTGTCGTTGAGTTTGTTGAAATGTCAAGTACTTCTTCTTCTTCTTCTTCTTCACGTCTCTCATATATATCTCTGGCATGAAATAGGAATGAGCCGCTGGTTGGAGAAACCGAGACGAAGCTGCATCGGAGATTTTCTGTTCAGATTTTTTAGGTCTTCAGTTCGGCGGAAGAACAAATAGTCCATTCCCTCTAGAACCTGTTCCTTGACTTTTTCTTTGTGCTTCTCTACTTTTTCTTTAAAAAATTGTTACATTTTGATTTTTTGAATCAAACTATGTTTCTTTGATCGTAAATTAAAAAAAAATATATTAAATTATAATGTAAATTTACTAAAATTAGGTTTATTTTAAAATAAAATTTTGAAATATTAAATTTTTATAACATTTAATTATTTTAAACTATATTTCGTATTTAATTCATGGTTAAAGAGCGCCACAGCTTAACCAAAAAAGTCAAACTTTGAGTATTACTCCCTCCGTCCGGAAAAGAACTTCTCATTATACACTTTTCTCCGTCCGAAAAAAAACTTCTCATTATACGTTTTCATACACATTCTTTCTAAAATACTTTTCTCCCCTTCTTTCTTCTTCCCTTCTCTCTTTCTCCCTTCATTTTCAATTCCCAATCCTTTATCTCTATTTCTTTCCTTTTTCTCGAATCTGCACGTCTTCCTACAGCAGAGATGATCGGAGCAAGGGGTGGCGATGGGGGTTGGCGAAGGTAGTAGGAGAAAGGTGCGGTGTTGGGTGATGACTACGATGAAATGGTGGGTGAAGGGCAGGGGCGTTTTGGACAATTTACACACAAAGTCAGCTCTCCTTAAAAATGAAGAAAAGTCAAACCGGAAACTTCTTTTCTAAACGGAGGGAGTATGTATTTTTAAAATGAAAACAAATTTATTTTTAATGTACATGTTTGGAATATATACTAAAATAAACAAATGTTCAAAATACGTATTCTGTTCGGAAATGAGTATTAGTATGGATGTATGAAAAAAACATTGTAGATCAAGATGTATGATATATGGACTCATGATTTTGATATACTCCATTTGATCCTAAAAATCTTTTCTGTTTTGATTTTTTGACAAACAGTGACACACATTGACCATAAATTGTAAAAAATAATAATTAATTATAACATAAATTTAATATAATTGGGTTCATCTTAGGATATAGTTTTGATATATCAATTTTTTATATCATTTATTTATTTAGGTTATATTTAATTAATGATCAAAGAGTATGTGTCACTACTTGACAAAAAAAAGTTAAAACATCAACGCTTTTTTAAAACGGAGGGAGTGCATTATTTGATAACGTAGAATCTGAATTCATTAAGATTTGACTTCCTGATTTTTTTCTAATCTAGTTTGAATTTTGTGGCCTCATAATTCTAGTCAAAGTTGTATATGATTTTGAGTGCTCTCAAATTTTTTGATATAATTTTTTTAGAAAAATATATCTGATTTGATATCATTAGAATAAATTAAAGAAAACAGGCCTCGAGCCGGTACAGTAAAAATTTTGATCCAAAAAAGTTTAGCTCGAGCTTGAGTTTGGTTCATATTTTTTTTAACACTAATAACTCTATTATAATGTAGTCTTTATTCATACATTTTCAACCCATTAAACACGTAGAGTTATTGGGGGTCATGGTTCATATTCTTAATGGGCTTATTTGGTCAAATCAAAGCTTGTTTCAAGAAGAACGTGAGTAGTTTGATATATTTATTTATTTATTTTACAAAAATGTAAGGTCGTCCAAATAAACACACAAAAAAATGTACTTTTCAAAACTCGATTAGTTTAGGTTGATTGACAAGCATATTTTGGACTGAAAAATTATAATCAAGCTTCAAATTGAGCTTTAATGGGGTTTCAAGTCAAGTTTTAATAGAGTTCAAAGGCGAACTGCTTGAGATAATGAATTGAACTTTATTTTCAAAAGTTCGCGAGCTCACGAGCCAAGTCGAACTAGGTGGACAGGCTATCGAGCTCAAGCCGAGCTCAGGTAGATTCAAGCTTGACTCGACTCGTTAGCACCTCCTATTCTAAAATTTATAAAATGACATCTTGACCTCTATTTTCAATTGTCTATTTTAATTTTCTATGTTATTGATAAATTTTAATATACCGTAATTTTCTTAGAGATTATAGTAATTGCGATACAGGGTTCGATGTAAATATCAAGAGAGAGATAAAATAATGGCATGCTTAATGTATTCAATCGATGAGAATGTATTCATGGTGAGCCAAATATATAACCACGTGATGGATATCTCAGACCAGGAGTGCTCGATCCATGGAAAAATACATCTAAGCAAGCTTTTGTTGAGGGCTTTTTGTTGATGGTATCCCTACTAAACAAGCTTTTGAGCAAGGATTTTAGCGTTGAGCGGACTAACGCATGTCAAAAGAGCCTCGAGTGACTAAAACAATACCTAATAGAGGCAAAGAGTACACGATCTTGAGCAACACATCCCATAAGAGACTTAGGTTTGTGATTATGTCGGAGAGTAAAGTTTTAGCTTATACCTCACGCCGGTTAAATTATGAAGAAGATAATTACACTACACATGATCACAAGTTTAAGGTGATTGATATTGGCACTCCAAAAATTACTAGTTGCACTCCACTTCTTTTTTATACTCCCTCCGTTCCCCAGTTTTTGTCCACTTTTGACTTTTGAAACTGTTTATATAAACACTTTGACTCATCAAATTCTCTCAATGTGTAAGCCTAAATATAGTCATGTGTGATCTTGTTTGATTTGTCTTAACATGTAGATTATTAATATATAATTTCTATAATTTTTTAATATACAAATTACAAGATAAAATGGATAAAAGAAGTGTATTAGATGGTGTGTAAAAATGAAAGTGAACAAATACTCTGGGACGGAGGGAGTATTTCATTATTTCCCTAAATGCCCCTCAAGCACTTCATTTTTTGGGTCCTTACCACTCCATTGTTCATAACAAAATTAAATTAGTTATGTATCTGTTTACTAGTTCATGCATTGATTTTTTTAAATATTTTTTTCACAGGTCCCATAATGGTCTTTTCACTTTTTCTATCATTTTTCGAAAAAGAGTATATGGTCTAAAATAATTATTTTCTCTTTTTATAAAAATTATATGGACAAATTTTGATGCTCAACTAAATAAAAATTACTACATTGCATATTAGTTTCAAATTATTTATTTAGATATGTCTTGCTAAAAACTTTGAAGTTTTATTTCATTGCATTAATGTGTAATACAGAATTAACATAATTGATGATTAGATTTTATCCAGTTTGACTCGAACGAAAAACACAAATTATTTAATTACATAAAAATGGGGAAAGCAGATCTGTGTATTCAAAAAAATATTACAATTAAAAAATTAAGATTAAAAAAATAAATTTGAGAATAACTGAAAGGTGTTGATTACTCAAATATCCATCCATTTTATACTCATATACTTGGGAGTAATTAACATGGAAATAGTAAAATGGGAAGAGTGATTGAAAAAGTAAAGTTGCGGTATTCTGAATGGTGTATTTTATGGAGTGTGAAATAAAATGGTATTTGGGAGTTTAAATTAAAGAATAAAAGAAATAGATTATAAGTGGTAATATTTGGAGTCATAATTTGGGAGTTTAAATTAAAGAATAAAAGAAATAGATTATAAGTGGTAATATTTGGAGTCATATTATCATTTGCCAAAAATGTAGTGGTGAGGGGCACTTTAGGGAAATAGTGTAATATAAAAAGGAAATGGAGTGCAACTAGTAACTTTTGGAGTGCCAATATGAATAGCCCAAGTTTAAGAGCATGTGCAATGACAAGGAAGAGGGGTGACTTGCACTGCCACATCAGCTTTTTCCACTCTTATCATGGCATGACAATACCAAAATGCCTTGCTTGGTGAGGCATGAGTGTGACACTTCATCCTTCCTTTTTCTTTTTTTCAAATAATTTTTTTAAATTTTTTATGAAAAAAAAATGTACAAGAAAGTAGAATAATTTTTTAATAAAATAAATAATAAAAATATTTTTTTTATGTTTAAAAAAGTAAAAAAATGATAAAAAATAATGACTTGCCATTGTAGAACTTGCCACTCCATGCAATTGCCACACGCTGACTGGATTATTTTTGATTGGTTAAAATGTTCAATGTCATCGTGTGTAATTCCATTTTTGTCTTGCCATTGTTCATGCTCTAATTAGTTTTTACATTAAAAATTGACGTCACTATTTTTTGGAGAGACAACATTCGTACGGAACCAAGTATTTGTTGACTCAGAATGATTCAATTGAATTTAAGACAAAGAAGATTGGTTAAAACTAATTAAAAACACTTTTGATCCACGGCCTCGAGACTATGAGCCTATTTGAGAATAACTTAACGTTTTGAAAAGGCTATCTACGGCAGCGTTTAGCATTAGCATTTTCAAAGTAATGTACACTGTCAAAATTTTATCCAAAACGATAAAGCTAATCTAACCATATTCCCAACACCTTGGTTCCCATGACATTGGGAACCAATGTCATGCGATGACCCGGGGGCGCTCCGGTGCCCCGTTTGTAAAATTGACGGTTACTACCCCCGATAAACCCCCCTACCCCGCCCCGACCCGAACGCACCCCCCACCCCCTTCAATTGCACCCCACAAGTTGATTTTGACTTTGAAGTCAAAATTTGACTCCAAAAATCAAAATCAACTTGTGGGGTGCAATTGAAGGGGGTGGGGGGTGCGTTCGGGTCGGGGCGGGGTGGGAGGGTTTACCGGGGAGGTTTGGGAGTAGGAACCGTCAATTTTACGAACGGGGCACCGGAGCTCCCGGGTCATTCCGACATTGGTTCCGAATGTCAATGGAACTTGCCCTATTCCCAAATAGGTTAGAGGTTAATTTCGTGGGTGTGTTCTTGCAAACAGAAACAGTCCACCACAAAAGCACAAACCACAAAACCCCCCCAAGAATCATAAATTAAGCATGCCCAGATCCCCATTCATCTTTCTTCTCCCCAATTCCTTCTTAGGTGGCGGAAATGAGCATGTACGGTAGGGATCCGTGGGGCGGTCCCCTGGAGATCCACGCCAACGACGACGAAGTAGACAGCCGGAGCCGGAACCTCCAGGACTTTGACCGGGCGGCGCTGTCGCGGTCGCTCGACGAGACGCAGCAGAGCTGGCTGCTGGGCCCCACCGAGCAGAAGAAGAAGAGGTATGTTGATCTGGGCTGCATTATGGTGAGCCGGAGATTCTTCATTTGGACCGTCGGCGGCGCCCTCGCCGCCGCCGTGCTGGTCGGCTTGGTTGTCTTGATTGCCGAGACCGTGCCCCGCCACAAACACCCCTTTTCGCCGCCGGATAATTACACTCTTGCCCTCCACAAGGCTCTCATGTTCTTCAATGCTCAGCGCTGTAAGTTTGCCCATTCAAGAACTTGTCAGAAACTTATCAACTTAACACACTTTGTTTGGTTTAAAGAATTTGAAAAGGAAAAAAAAGTGATTTTGCCTCATTTTTTAAATATATATTGACTTTTCATTTTCTTTTCTTTTCACTTTCAAATTTCTTGAACCAAACATAGTGTAAGCAAATAAACATGTTTGTGCCTCTTTAATGTTTCCAATGTTGGGACTTGGTTTGCTATTCCAACAAGAAATTTTTTTTGATAAAGTTAGTTAAGTTATATTTATGCCCCTAATATATATCCTTGAAATGGTGTTTGTTTTAACTGTTTTGCAGCTGGAAAACTGCCCAAGCACAACAATGTGTCATGGAGGGGTAATTCCTGCACTAAAGATGGAGACCGAGACAGTTCAACCGGTTTTAAGGATCTAGTTGGCGGCTATTATGACGCGGGAGATGCTATAAAGTTCAATTTCCCTCAATCGTTCGCCCTCACCATGCTAAGCTGGAGTGTGATTGAATACAGTGCGAAGTATGAGGCCGCTGGAGAGCTGAACCATGTAAAAGACATAATTAAGTGGGGAACTGATTACCTCCTCAAGACCTTCAATTCCTCCGCGGATACTATTGATCGCATCGTTTCGCAGGTAAATGGCTAGTCTACCTCTTTCAATGTTTCTTTCGAAGCAAATGCAAATATGCTCGGAGTCTTCAATTCTATCAACAAAAAATTCATGTCAATACTCCCAGAAATTACATATTTTGCACGAATTCTCCAAGATCACACGATGGCACTCCTAGAATTTCAATATTTTTACAACAATACTACATGGAATTTTAAAAAAATTGTAAAGGGATCCCCATTTTTTGTTCATCTTGGAGCATTCATGTAAAAAGATTTCAATTTTGAGAGCACCAATGACAATTATTTAGTCTTGGAGTGTTCGTGTAAAATCTCAGACTTATAGGAGTATTGGCATGGTTTTCTTCCTTCCATTAAAGGGTTTCATGCATTTTAATGCTAGGTTGGAGTAGGGGGCACGTCACGAGGAAGCACAACTCCTAACGACCATTACTGTTGGACGCGTCCTGAGGACATTGATTACCCCAGGCCTGTGATTGAATGCCAGAGTTGCTCTGATCTTGCAGCTGAGATGGCTGCTGCACTTGCATCGGCGTCCATTGTTTTTAAGGACAACAAGGCCTATTCGCAAAAACTTGTCAATGGTGCCCAAACTGTCTTCCAATTTTCTAGGGATCGCCGCGGGAGGTACAGTGCCAAAGACAGAGAAGCTTCAGTTTTCTACAACTCCACCAACTATTACGACGAGTTTGTCTGGGGTGCGACTTGGCTGTATTATGCTACCGGGAACTCTACCTATCTTAACATTGCCACAATGAAAGGTATTGCTAAGAATGCCGGGGCTTTCTATGGTGGCAAACATTATGGTGTGATGAGCTGGGATAGCAAGCTTCCTGGAGCTCAAGTAAGCTTTTGATAAGTTCAATCTCTCACAATAAGGCTCTGTTCATTTGCGTTGTAAAAAACAGAGTTTGATGTTCGAAGAAGCTGGAAGGGTTGGAAGAAACTGGAATGAGTTGGAAGTTAATTTTTCCAACCCAAATGAACAGACCCTAAATCACATTTATTTTATTGCTCATTTCTTCTCCAAATTATGTTTTCGGATGACTTTGGAGTCATTCGGCCATCGATGCATATGAACCGACGTTCTTTATTGTGTTCCTAGGTGCTTCTTAGCCGTTTGAGGTTGTTCTTGAGTCCGGGATACCCTTATGAAGAGATTTTGAGCACCTTCCATAACCAGACAAGCATATTCATGTGCTCCTACCTGCCGTTCTTCTCCTCTTTTAACAGAACAAAAGGTAATCAGTTGTATAATATAATATTCCCTTCGTCCCGATTTAGTTGTCAACTTTCAAGAATATCTCAAATTCACAGAATAAATGTAAAAATAACAAACGAAGAAACGTTTCAAATTAGTTTGGTTTGTTGCATGTTCCATATAGATTTTGGGTGCACGTTTCATAGCTGAAAAATACTTGAGGTCTGTTGCAGGAGGCTTGATTCAGCTGAACTATGGTGCACCACAGCCTCTTCAGTATGTAGCCAATGCAGCATTTCTGGCCACCTTGTTTAGCGATTATCTAGCAGCTTCGGATACCCCTGGATGGTATTGCGGGCCCACCTTCTACTCTGTCGACGTTCTGCGTAATTTTGCCGAAACACAGGTGAAATTCACTCTCGTTTTCTTTCCCATGTTTAAGATCCTAGAACACCATTACACTCAATACGTTCGAAACACAATGTAGATGATCCTAGAAAGATTATCATAAGGAAGGAAATGAAAAGAAAAAGACTAAACTAGGAGTAAAACATGAAAAGAGACAAAAAGTACCAAAATAGGAGTTACAACAACAACAACAACCCAGTTAAATCCCACAAGAGTAGGGTCTGGGGAGGGTATGTGTACGCAGACCTTGCCCCTACTCGAAAGTAGAGAGGCTGTTTCCAAAGAGACCCCTGGCTCAACATCGAAAGTTGCAGTGTTTGACTAACTGCTACTTCATTAATTAAAGAAGCGCAGATAGTTTAGAGATCCATTTTGATTTATTCCATCACACCCCAAAGCCAAAAATGGTGAAATTTTGACTCCATCGGAGATGATGGAAAACAAAATAGGAGTTACAATGTCTATAATGTCAACATATAATGCCAACAAATACTATGAAATGTCAATATACATCGACAAATTGCACCTGGCAATAGTCTTATTTTGGCGTTAAAAACGTGAAACTCATATTTTGGTACTTTTTCTATGTTTTACTCCTGTCATCTTGATACCCGAGTTCTTTGGCTTCTCAGATTGACTACATCCTTGGAAAAAACCCGAGGAAGATGAGTTACATTGTGGGGTTTGGCAATCGCTACCCAAAACATGTCCACCACCGCGGCGCGTCCATCCCTAAAAACAACATCAAGTACACCTGCAAAGGGGGGTGGAAATGGAGGGACTCGAAGAAGCCAAACCCCAACACCATTGTCGGAGCCATGGTCGCAGGCCCAGACGCGCACGACGGTTTCCATGATGTGCGTACCAATTACAACTACACTGAGCCCACACTTGCCAGCAACGCCGGGTTGGTGGCTGCGCTGGTGGCTCTATCCGGGGAAAGGAGTGTTCAACTCGATAAGAACACCATGTTTTCCGCTGTGCCACCTATGTTCCCCTTGCCGCCGCCACCACCAGCACCTTGGAAACCTTAGTGGCCAAGTGTGAGTATCTATTGATTCATATTCTTTTTTCCATTGATTCTTATGCTGGGTTCTGACACCTTGAATGCCCCCATGGAAGAACATCAAGGCTTCTTGTTGTCAGTTCTTGGGTTATTAGCTAGAAGTCTAGAACTTTCCTGAAGTGACTGCAGTGTCTTCTTGTCTGTTTGTATCAATGTTTCACATCCATGGTAATTATGTATGTATGTATCTATGGCATCAAGAATTTAGAAACTTGCTAATTTAATCTTTTAGAGCAGAAGTTGAACAAGAAAGCCTTAATTTTTCACTTTATTTCTAGTCATTTTGTAGTATAAAATTTCTTCGGAAGATATGTAATTGATGTGTGCCATTTATTCTTTTCTTTTTAGGAAAGGAAAAAAAATGAAAATTTCATTTTAGAGTGCACGAAAAAAGAAAATGTTATAGTGGTAGTGTACTCCGTATTTATTTAGAGAGTACATAGATATTTCAATCAATAATTCAAGAGTGACTACTGAGTTACTTTAGGAAGACCTTGTTTTTGAACAATATTTTCAAGAAATATGCTAGAGTGCCATCAAATGGTTGTTATCATGGGTGTACTCAAGTTTCGCACATATGATTATCATTTATGTCGCATGGATGATTATCATCTGTGTCATCTGTGCAAAGTTTGGGTGTACCCATTGTAACAATCATTTAGGGACACCCTAGCATGGTCCTTTTTCAATTCACATTAACTTTTTGAATATTGCATAATCTTTTAATATACAAAGCCAAAGGGGAAACATAAATAGTGATTTTTTTTCCGCCTAAGGTTTCGGTAAAAGAGTGGGTAAGAAACCGTGTTTGATCAGGTATGGGCAACTTTGGTTAAAAAAATGAACAAGTGTATGGGAGGCCGTGAATTAATCATTATTTTTGCCTTGGGATGTATGTTTAGGCGGGTGCATTAAATGAGTAACTTTATGAAATATTGTGAATAAATAATAGACATTGTAATGGGAGATGTGTGTAGGCAGTTAGACTAATAAGTGACTAACTTTATGAAATATTGTGAATACATAATGACCATTATAATGGGGTCTGTGTGTGCAAGAGTAGGGTCCATTTTTTTCCAAGAATTTATTTTATAAATCAACCTTTCACACTTCCCAACAAATTACCCATTGCATTAAGTTTTTACATTTTTTTCTCTTCTGTTCTTTTTCGAGATAGCAACATCCGAAAGAGTTTCACCCAGTTTATGGATAAAGCTTGATGACCTCGAGAGTTTCAGTGCATCTCTGCGGTGTCTTTTAATCATTTAAATGACAACTTATCAAATATACTATTTCTAAACACTATCTCAAAATATTGACTGTGCAACGCGCGGGTTAGAGGTCTAGTTTTAACAATATGGTTGGTTTAAGAAATTTGGAAAACAAGAAAATTGTTTTTCAAATTATTTTTCATTCTTTTTTAATTTTCTTGAATCTGACATAGTGTAAATGATGTAAATTAATTTTAAAAACAGTAATGACCAATTTAAAAATTTAAATTTCAAATTCAAATTCGACTTAAATTACATGTTTAAGAACATGAAAAAAGAAATTAAATGTAAGATCTGGGCTAAATTCCTCCGGTCCCAACACAAATTTACAATATACATACACTTCACTTATAATTAATTGGGGAAGGTTCCCATGACATTGGTACATTTGGATGACCCGGGGGCGCTCCGGTGCCCCATTCGTAAAATTGACGGTTCCTACCCCCCTAACCTCCTCGGTAAACTACCACCCCATCCCGACCCGAACACACCCCCCACCCCACCCCGACCCGAACACACCCCCACCCCACCCCGACCCGAACACAGCCCCCACCCCCTTCAATTGCACCCCACAAGTCGATTTTGACTTTGGAGTCAAAATTTGACTCCAAAGTCAAAATCGACTTGCGGGTGCAATTGAAGGAGGTGGGGGGTGTGTTTGGGTCGGGGCGGGGTGGGGGGTTTACCGGGGGCTTAGGGGGATAGGAATTGTTAATTTTACGAACGGGACACTGGAACGCTCCTGGGTTATCCCGTGACATTGGTTCTCAATGTCATGGGAATCAAGGTGTAATTAAAAATCCAAAAATTAAAATGAAATTTTTAATTCCAAAAAAAATTCCAGGCGCCATCATTTTCGCGTCAATATGAAATTTTTTTCTTTTGGCGCAATTTTCCAAATTCAACTCGACATTTCTCTCGGAAGATTCATATATTCCGTACACCACACATCCAAATCGCCGTCCTCAGCCGCGTCACCCATGGCGGATTTCGAAGCTCCGTCGTTCTCTCTAGGGCTCGATTTCGAGCTCGATTCGCAGCCGAATCTCACGGCGGCGCCCGAATTTCAACCCGCTCAGAGCCTCCGGACTATCGCCGAGGAGGAGGATGGCGACGATTTCGATTCCCTGGTTTCGGGTCCGGACTTAAAATGCTCGGATCCACCGTTGCCTCTGAAGCGCCTCGTGCGCGGGTCCGCCGCCTGCAAATCGACTTCGGCGGCCCGAAGTCGGAGTGTCAAGGAGGGGACGTTGTGTGAGTTGGAGGACGACGAGATTGAAGATTTCTCTTCTCAGGAAGATCCGCCAGAAGGTGAATATTTCAGCCTTTTTGATGAGTTCAACTTTCGCATTTTTTTTGTTTTTCTTATCTTTTGTAAGAAGGTCTTTTTACCTGCGTGCAAGAAGCTTTTCCTGCTTCAGGCGATTATGGATTATAGAAATGAGTATTAAACTTGTGAAAAATGACAATAACTAAAGAAAATGTGTGCCTGGTGGGGTTGGGCTTGGGCTGACAACTTTTATATGCTCACTGATGTTGAAATAGAATTGATGTGTGATTAGGTTTAAATAATAGGGAACTTTTGGTACTAAACTACACTTAATGCCTGCTACATTTGTTATTGAAGCTTGTATTCAAATGTGAAATTTCAAAATTCAGCCAACATTCCCAACATGTGTGTGCGTGTGTGCGTGCCCCAATTTGCGTTCATGAAGGCACATTGCAGTTATGCATTGTCTATTGTTTTTAAGCTATATATTGTTTCTTCTGGACTTCTTTCATCATGTTCCCGGGCATTTTTAGTTTTATATTTATTTTATTTTTTAAAACCTAATAGTTTTCCAACATCCCCGATGGAGCCAAAATTTCACAATTTTTTGGCTTTGGGGTGTGATGGAATAAATCAAAATGGATCTCTAAACTGTCTGCGCTTCTTTAATTAATGAAGTAGCAGTTAGTCAAGCAATGCAACTTTTGACGTTGAGCCGGGGGTCTCTTTGGAAACAGTATCTCTACTTTCAAGTAGGGGCAAAGTCTGCGTACACACACCCTCCCCAGACCCTACTCTTGTGGGATTTAATTGGGTTGTTGTTGTTGTAGTTTTCCAACAATGAGTTCGATTAATTGACAACCTAAGGACTTCTTTATTTTTTAAAGCTCAAGTAATTGACAACCGGAGTAGTTCTCCAACAATGAGTTTGATTTTAATGCTTCATTGACTTGGTTAATGTGTGTTTGTGTAATTATTAATCAAATTTAGTTCTCCTCTTTTCCTTTTTTGTGCATCTGGAATTGGCTGTCAATATTGCTCATGTTCAAAAAGCTCAATCCCATTTCATATTTATTAAACAAAATATGATGGATTATCAAAAATACCTTCAAAATAACTTTATTAGCATTGCTGACATCAATTAACAAAAATTTCATTTACAAGACTTATTTTGTATTTTACACTAACTCCCTAAATATGAGAAAATGTTGAAAATTTTTTCTTTCTATGATACATTCTCTTTTTCCTCCCTCTCACTTTTTTTTAAATTTTTAAATCAGATCGCTCAAAATCCATAAGATCTGTAAGCAGCAGTTCAAAAATCCCATTACACCATCATGGGGGGTTTTCCATGCAATCAGCTACTCAATGTACTTTGAAAGGGAAAAATATGGATACTGATTCTCCTGCATTTCAAAATAAGGAACCAAGTGACACCATATTTGTGTTCTCTAAATTAGACGTTAGTCCTCTTAGAAGGTTCGAGATAATTGATTCAGATTCAGATGATCCGTCCACAACTGAACATTTGAAGAAAGGTGTAAAAGTAAAGGCAGCTGCTGAAGAATGTGCTCTTTCAAGTAAACAGATGAGGGATGAAACATTGCATGTGACTTTCCAGTCTGAAGACCTGTGGAAGGGTTTTTTGACAGATGAAAAGTTTCATATCTCTACCCCTGCTTTAGATGAGGTTTGTGAAGAATATTTTAGATCTCTGACGGATAGGAATGCTGCCGTTCAGAATGCAAATGAAGATGATCACCGAAAGAGCAGTCTCACTGAGAACTGCAACATGCAACAAAGGCATAATAGTTCTCTTGTACCGGCTCATAGCTATTTTTTCCATAAGGAACTGAGGATCCAAAAGCTAGTTCGTGACCGTTTGCCACACTTCTTCCCATTGGGTGCCAAGAGTGGCCAAGGGGTCAAACAAAATGATGGATCAATCAATTACATGTAAATGCTCATGTCTTTGCCATTAAAGCCTGTCAACATGTTCTTTCTATTACATGTTTTTTAGCTCATACTTTCCCTGATATCCTTGCAGAGGGCAATTTGCTCCGAGGGGAGGCCCTGAGAGTCGAACCAACAAGGTTGCAGCCGAAGCAATCTCTACAAAGCGAAGAAAGAAAGATAGTCCCAAGGAGGCTTCTGAAGCGTCTATCAGTTGGGTGAACCCCAAAGATTCTGCTGTGGTTGCAAAGGATGCAGGAAAGAGAAGAGTGCATGCAGTTGGTAATTCAGCTGGGCATTGGCTCACAGCTTCAGATGGGAAAAGAGTAAGATCAAGTTCACTATAATCTGTGGTTTCTACTTCTATACATTAATTCACGGACGATCAATTCACTTGAAACTGTTTACCAGGTTTATATCACCAGAAACGGGGAAGAGCTGAGTGGTCGGAATGCTTACATGCTTTATAGAAAGGTAGGCTTCTATTTACCCCTACAGATCATACTCTATACTACAATTGCTTCTTAATGTAAGCAACCTTTTAATTACTCATTAACATGGACAAAGTGTTGTACCTAACGACGGGTTTCTTCATGGCAGGAGAGCGGGTCGGGATTTAACAAGTCAAAAAGCAACGCCACTGGTAATAAGAAATCCTTCGCCAAGCGCAAGAAGAGATGACACTCCTTACTTGGTCCAGCCTAATGCACTTGGAACTTTCAGATATCCACCAGTTTTGTGTTTACATCAGCCTTGTAAATATCTTGTTTCTAACAATTTATATATTTTTACAGAGTTTGGATCAATAACATTAGAGTAGCACTTTTCCTCTATTTACTTATTTCATATAAAATCTGTTGAGTTTAGGTGCCCCTTATTTAGTTATGCCTCTTGAGGAAAACATATAATTTTTCTGTCTCACATTTCTTGTGCTATCTCGGTGTATAATACTCTCTCCGTCCCAGTATATTTATCTGGTTTCACTTTTTGAGTCAAACAGTACAAATTTTAAGTTTTAATTTAATAAACACTTTAATGTATTTTAACATAAAAATAAATTTATTATATATATTGCATTGAGAACTTTAAAAATTATTTTTTATTATACTAATAGACAATACAAATTGAGAGTAATTGTAGTTGAAAATTTGTGTAATTTGACTTTCAAGTCAAATGGGACAAATACATTGGGACGGTGGTAGTAATTTGTTAAAGTTATTTTAATATATTTTATTTATATATTGGTGGCATATTTAAAAAAAAATTATACTCAATTCCATAATAAACTTTACACTGATTTTACTAGGCATTACTTACTATACGTACTATACAATATATATTTAATTAAATTAAAGTTCATTAATTTTAATGGTAAAAAATAAAAATTGGACAAATAATCTGGGATGCATATAGTATAAAATTTAAGGAAAAAGACTTAAGTGGAAATAAAATTAGATATTCAATAGTTTTTATATCAAAATAGGATTTTTAATGTCAAATAATATCAAAATATAATGCTTAAAAATTGTGGAATGCCAACATGTAAGCATGTTGATGTAGTGGCAAGTAAGTCGCCCCAATTTTCTCCACACCTCGTATTTGATCCTCATCCCAATTTACGGGACCAATGCCATTTACGGGCATTTTATAGTTCTAATAACTCTTACTACATCCGTCCCAATTTAAAGCGCCTGTTTCGGTTTACAATATTTGACTGAAATTATTTTCAAACCATTTTGTATGACAAATGGTATAGAATTTAAAAATAAAAATTACATATTAAAAAAACTATATCAAAAGATCTACAAAACTAGCAGTGACAATAATATTTTATTTTATCAAATTGCTAACGAAAATAGAGAAAGAAAGTGAATGAATTTTGACCCTGTGGATAGTAAACATGCATTATAATTTGGGACGGAGGGAGTATAAAACATTAGAAATCTTATTTTTTATAAGTTCTATATTTAAGTTTTATTTAGATAGATTTTTTTTATATAAAGATGATGGTAATACGTAAGGCCTGATTTTTATATGGAGGGACATGAGATTTAAGATTGACCTGTTAGGGCCATCAAATCTGTCCATTTTCCAAAAAGTATATTAGTGCATTGTTATACTTTTAGAGGTTATTTGGCAACTTCTAAATAGATAAGTGCTGAACCAGTAAGAGGTCTGAACCATTAAGTGCTGAACCAGTAAGAGGTCTGAACCATTAAGAGCTAGTATATTACTTAACTATTCAGAGGCAAATGTCTGATCATTTCAGATAAGAAGTCTTAACCATTCAGACTTTGTATAATACTTAACCATTCAGAAGCAAATCTCTTAACCATTTAGACATTTGAACCATTAAGAGGCTGAAACAAACAATCTGAACCATTAAGTGCTGAATCATTCAGATATCTGAACCAGTAAGAGGCTGAAACAAACAGCCCCTTAGTCTCTATAATGTACTCTCAATTACAACATGTATTAGTTTTGCGAAATGGTATCAACTGAAGCTATTATCATAATTACTTTTTTATTTAGAATAAAAGGAGAATATATTTTATCTCGTAAAATATAAATTACACGAATTTCTTATTGTTACAAAAAAATTTAATTCACAACCACAAGGACCATCTACGCCCGTTCCGACAAATATGTGAAGGGATGTAAATTAAGATCCAACGAGCAGCGACTCGTTAAAGGAAGAGGCTTGTCCCACAAATATGTAAGGAGCTCATTCTTTTACTCTCTAAACTGGTTTTAGAATATCACTCACGTGTGACTTAGGGTTTGTTTGGGAATAACGTTAGCATTTTAAATAAAATTTTAACGGTACAGATTATTTTAAAAACACTAACACTAAATGATGTTCATAAATAGACTTTTTAAAACACCAACACTCTAATGCTATTTCCAAACGGGCTCTTAATTTAGTCCCAAATTTGCCCCCACGGAACAACTGAGCTACCCCCGTCCCCTGCTGTCAAAATTACCGCTATTTCTAATAAAATTTGATAGAAGCTCATCGGTCTCGGCGAGGGGAGAAATGGAGCCAGGGGAGCCACGGTGCTCACCTCAAGCTGCAGGCAGCGGCGCCGCCGGAGGTGGCGGCGGAGGAGGTCGCTACGCTTTACAGCCGACACGAATCGACAGCGAAGATATACTTTTCTGCGTTGATGTTGACAAGGAATCCATGGTCGATATGAAAACTACGACTGCGAGTGGGCGGCACTATACCCGAATCGATTCTATCAAGCAAGCTATCATCTTCTTCGTCACCGCCAAGCTCACCATTAACCCTGATCACCGATTCGCCTATGTCGGTCTTGGAAAATCTGCTTTCTGGGTACCTTTATTTCGCTTTCTTGATCTAATCTTTCTTCTTCTTCTTCTTCTTCTTCTTCTTTTATCTCCTATTAGTTTGTGGTTAATTTCGAAGTATTTTTGGTGTGTTTATTTAATTTACTGCACCTTCATTCAACTGAATTCGAGCAAGTGTGTGATGCTTCTGTTTTATTTTTAAAGTTGAATGATAAATTGGCTTCTTCAAGTACACTGAGGATGAATGGGCAATTAATAGAAGGAATCTTTCTAGGTTTTATTTCTGCAGACTGAAATTGATATGGTTAATCCTGGGGGTAACATTTTCTAACACAATGTTTGGTTCAAGGAAAGAAGGAATTGAAGAGAAAAAGGGTTATCTCATTTTCCTCACCAAAATGGTTTTGGTAGAATATTTTTTTTCACTCTTCTTAGTTTATTTTTTTCCTCTCAATTTCTTTTTCCTCTTTAACCAAACAAGAAAAATTATTTTCATTACCATTTTCATTTCTTTTATCTTTTAACTTCCTTGAACCAAAAATTATGCAAAGTATCTTTATCTTGTTGATGCTGTATTGCCTTTTTCTTGGTTTTAAGACATGCCTACATTCAACTTCTCTGGAACTCACTTGGGGGACTATACCGGGTTGTTACTAGTGTTGTATTTTTCCTTTTCTATGTTCATTTTTTATTGGGTGGTTTAACAAATTAACTGATCTACTTGGCGTATAATCTTTGACAAAAAAGCTCCAAAAAGAGTTCAGTAATGACGCGGATTCTCCAATATCTGCATTCCGGGCCATCTCAATCGATACATCATCTGGCCACGCTGACCTAACCCAACTATTTAGAGTGGCTGCTCATGAAGCAAAAAAGTCTCGCGCTCAGAATAGGATACTCAGGGTGGTGAGTATTCATTCACATAACTTTAAATCTCTTGTTGTTTCATAATTTGTATTGCTTATTTAAATGTGTTTGCTTAATAAAATATTTGTTTCCGTGAGTGGCTAATGCTGCTGTCACAATTCCTCCTTTCTGAGGAAAGGGACGGAAGTATATGGTGAGTTATGACATGCAACCTCTAATAATATTTTCATTTACCAAATGTACATGAAAATTGGGTATTGGCTGCATTACTGGCATCATGTTAGAAATTTGTATATCTGGTTGGGGAAAAGAGATTTCTATCGACTTAACAATGCATTTTCTTTCATGGAGTATATTGGTTATTTGTATATCTACTTCTTGAATTGTGATTTTATCAGTAATTTGTGAGTTCATTTTCTAGTTTGGAACTCACTTTTGTCACTTTTATCCATAAAGAGGCTGAATAAGTTATAATTGGAAATTTGGTCTTCTTAATATCTCGGCATGTCATCTAATTATCATGATGCCGTCTTCTAAGTAGACATAGTCTCACTTAAATTAATTGTTATATGAACCGGTTATGGAGCCAACAAGCTATGACTTTATCAAATATGTGATTTAGTGTATCTAACATTTTACTTTCTTAGTTCCCCTCAAATATGAATTTATCGAAAAACAAGGTTTCTTGTCTGCTAGAGTCTTAGAGGGACACGATTGACATGTTCTGTTCTTTCTCTTACATCATCCAGCCAAATCACATTAAGTTATTTTCTCATTTATCTCATTTCACACTCATCTGTCTTTTCATACATGGACAACAAAACCCAGTAAAATGAGTTAATTTGAGACAAGTTGACTGACTGGTCTTTTTTGTCATTTTCAGATTCTACTGTACTGTAGGTCATCAACACCGCCAACACATCAATGGCCTGCTACTCAGAAGCTATTCACTTTGGATGCAATTTACCTCCACGACAAGCCAGGACCTGATAACTGTCCACAAAAGGTGTATGATGCCCTAGTGGAGGCCCTTGAACTGGTCAGCGATTATGAGGGTTACATATTCGAGAGTGGGCAGGGGAGTCTTCGTGTTTTCCTTCGCCACATGGCTGTTCTCTTGTCCCACCCACAACAGCGCTGCATGCAGGACTACATGGACTTGCCCAAATCCCTGACAAAGAAGTCACCCGTGACCGAATCTGCCATACCGGCTGATGAGAATGCCGCGGCATCTACTCAATAGATTGGACTAGATGTGTGATTTTGTTGATATTGTGCTTTCTTTTTCTTCTTGGCTTCCGCTTAGCTCTCTTGTTAGTGGTGCCAAATATGGCTGAGGAAAATGTTCAGAATCTGTGTGTTGTATTGTGTAGAACTCTCTACCCTTTTTTTGTCTTTTGGAAATGAAGAAATTGCATTTCATAAATGAAACTTTGCATGAAAGGAAGGCTTAAGGTTTGGCCTTTTAATGGTGATGTGCTTAGGATTGGTTTGTTGTCTGTGTAAAAAACTCTGCTCTACACATTATCTTGACACACAATGCACTTTTCACCTTTGTCCAGAAATTTGCCTGGTCTTCCTTTGGTTTGTAACCTGTGTCTTCCAATAAACCACATGGTAAATTGATGTTTAGGCACTATATTTAATAAGTTTGTTCCAGACCAGAGGAATCCAATCTGGCTTGTTCCTATCTCCCAAAAAGGCAAAAACCAATCATACCCTTTACTAGTGTAAGGGTGTGGCTTGAACAATGAATGTGGAAAAGTTTGAGGTAACTTTCTTGTCACTACGATAACATGTTTCCACAAATTTTTTTTAGTTTGATTCAACTTTCTCCAATTTACCCCTCACTTTTATTACTCCGTAGTACTCTGTATCAATGCCTAAAATTGGACATATTAATTCAGAGTACTAAAAATAAAATGAATTTGTTTATACAAAAACCTACATTTCATATATATTTAAAAACATCAATAAAAATTTAAACAGAAAAGAAATTATAAAAAAATCTAGTACAAAAGATAATAAAAGTGGAGTAATAAATTCAATAAATGAAAGTGTTGTAAAAAATATTACAATATGATTAAGAAAAAAAGAGTTACTAGACAATAAGTGAAAATATGTAGGCGTAGTGGCAAAGAAGCCACCTCAAGCCTTTTCACATGTAGTGTTTGATCTCCACACTGCGTTAATAGCTTGAGATAATAAGATTGAGCATATACTACACTAACAAGTTTAAGAGCTACTGACAAAGTGATATACGAGTATAATAAAAGATAGAATTAAAAAATTTTTCACATATAGGGAACGGTATGGGATCTGTAATTTACATTTGGTATCAAAATTTATCTACGTGGCAAATAAAGGTATGTCAGTCTAAGTATATACCACTCAGACTTGTCACTCTCTTCTAGTAATATTAAAGGACTAGTTTTAACCCTGTGCTTCGCACGAGCTCGTATATATTTTGAATTTGATATTTTATAAATATAATTATATTTATTGTAATTTTCTAACGATATTTTTATACCACTCAGACTTGTCTCTCTCATCCAGTAATATTAAAGGATATATAAAAAAATAAATGTTGGTACATAAAAAAAATTGTTTGAAATTAATAATTACAATCTATATATACAAACCAATCTTTATTTATTTCACCCATTTTTAAACCCCGCACTCTCAAAAATTAAACTTTTACAGTTTACTCTCTAGAAAAAGACAAATGGGTATTTTTCTAGTATTAGAAATTAATAGTTTTTTTGTTATGGATTAATATTTTCATTCATGTAGTATTTTCGGTTATGTAAGATTCTAGTTTTTCTTAAATCAATGAAATCTTATCATTTTGTTGTTAGTGTTAATTAGCTATTTACCATTTATTTTTTTAAAATTACTATACCCATTACGAAAATTAAAAATTTAAAATGAGTTTAAAAATGGTAGTATATTATCAAATTGGTGTATGTACACACTCATTTTTAGTCACAAAAAATATGAAATTAATGAAATCTCTTGTGACACTAATATAGGAGAGATGCTATAGGTACGTATACCCTCCACCCTTAAAAAACTTAGATTACTACTTTGGTGATGAGATTGAAGATTAAATGTAGGTACTGCAATGGAAGTGCAGCTATGGGTGTGCATTATTCGGTCCAAACCCAAACCAACTGGAAACCCGGTCAAAACCGTGCGGTTTTCAGTCCTCTCCTTTTCTTTATTCAATCTTCGGTCTGGTCCATCGGGTTTTCGGTCCGGCACATTTTCTTTATACAATGATGTTCTCGCGACACTCACGTTTGGTGACACTAGCGGTGCCACTACGTTTTTTGGAACACCTCCGGTGCTCTGATCGTAAAATTAACAATTCCTATCCCCCTAACCACCTCCTAAACCCCCCACCCCAACCCCGCCGTAACCCCCCACAAAATGTGCGGCTATTGTGCAATTAAATACTTTAAATTAAATAAAAAAAATTAAAAAATTTTAGTCCGGTCCCGGTCCGGTCGTTATCTTATTCAATATTCAGTCCAGTCCTCGGCCCATTCCGAATTCGGTCCCAGCCCAGACCCAGTCAAGGTCGGGCCGGTCTAGGTTTGACCCAGTAATCACCCCTAAGTGCAGCAAATGCTGTGGCCTGTGGAGAGAGGAAAGTTCTGTCATTTCTCTTTATTGTCTGAGGAAAAAGGAGAGTGAATTTAAGTGTGTAAATGTTTGTCCTTAAATAGAACAACCCTCAGACATCAACAAAGATGGAGTATCAAATATCTGTAAGAACAAAAACGCGTTTGTGTGGTGTGAAGACAATCCCTCCATAAAAGAGTGGGGTGGCATGCAACTTAGTGTACATATAAAAGCAACACATAAAAAAATGCAACAGAAAAGGAATTTCATTAAAGAAATGCCTTTGTAAAACCGTCATAAGAAATCAATAAACAAAAAGCATTTCCCCATCCCACACGGGAACGGGAAATATATATATATATATATATATATATATATATATATATATATATATATATATATATATATATATATATATATATATATATATATATATAAAGGAATTGGAATCTACAAGTCCGTACTTTAATCGCAAATAGCACTCTACCGTACGTGCTCTTCTCCATACAGATCATCGTATCTCACAGGCATCCGTACATCTTCAGGGGGAGCAAATCTCACAGGCGGCACTCTACTCACAAAAAGATCGGGTAGAGTTTGGTTGGTCGTCGCACCAGAGGATCTATGGGAAGTCGCTTCTTTTGTTCCCGGCTTGCTCTTAGAAACTTGCCTCAGCTGCTTCTGCAATGAGTTGGAGAAAACATATTGCAACCTAAAATTTCTAACCTGGTGAAATCATAATGAAGTGATGCAAGAAATGCATTGTGTTTGCAACAGGGAGTAAAACTTTAGCTCAATAAATGTTTTTTGATTTTTTGATCTAATAACCCAACAATGACATAGGCACAAACTACCCGATGACCACCAAACTGTATTATTAGTTGTTTATATGTTTAATACAAACAGCAACAACATTACCCTAGTGCCTCAACTGCTCCCACCCATTGTAGGGTAAGGGGGATCGGATGTACGCATTCTAACCCCTATGTTTAAAACATAGAGCGGCTGTTTCCAGATGACCCATGATGAGCGTCAAAAGTTGCATTGACTAATAGCTACTTCAATATTGCAAGAAGCGCATACAATTTAAAGAGTCAATTTGCTTTATTCCATTGTACCCCAAAGCCAATAAATAGTGAATCTTTGGCTCCACAGGGGAATGGAAATGGTTGTTTATATGTTTAATATTACTTAATAGACTTCTATGTGAGTATGAGAAGATGTAAACCAACACCCCTTTGTAAATACATTAAATATATACAAGCACATGCATACACATCTTAACAATAGAAAAAACCCCAATTACCATATGTACATTTAAAAAAACAATGGACTGATCCCTTTGTGCCATAAATGACTCTAATAAAGTAGAACTATTGGATATATCATCAAATATAGATATACTTTTAGATTCGTTTGTAGGTTTAACTAAGTTTAACACACTACATGTTTGGGAGACTTCTTTATGAAAAAAAATATTAAATATGATGAAAATAGCTTCCTTTCGTTCAAATTGAACTCTTTTTTGTGGACAAATATAAGTTTAGAAAAATGACTCTTTTATGATAGATAGGGAATCATTCTTAATGAAGTCTGATCAATGACCTACCTCAAACTCCTTCCCCTGTTTCATTATCTCTTTGTAAGCATTTGGTTCACGCAGTTTGATAATGTTCCATAAGATCCCACCACCTTCTCTAAAGCGCTTGCCATTAGATGTCTTCTGCCCGCCAGAGGCTTGGATTGCATCTACCTGCAAGTGCTATTCAGTTAGTACTTTATTTCATTGGAGCAGAAAATGACAGAAGACAAATGTAAAGGAAAAAAACATTCTTATATGTTGTAATGGGCATTTCATCTGTTGGACATTATAGACTCTGCTGGAAACAAGAAGAATAAATTGTTCTCTACACGTAAATGCCACATGTATCATAAACGGACAAACCAGAAACCTAGGTATTAATCACCTATTTACTCCTACATTTGGTAGATAATAACCAAGGAGAAATGCATTTCTTGATGAATGCAAAACTTAATTTTGGGATAAGCACGATGTGTGTATTTTATGACTGCAAAAGCACTTTAGCAGAAGAAAAAAAACTTTAATAATCTAAACCTAGCCATTTGTCAATTTATAGACACTAGCTTATCTAAGGATTAGGGCAATAAGCAATTACACTAAATGAATTAAAAGTAAATGGCATAGGCCAACAATCAAAAATGTCATTTTTCACTCATTTACTGTAAAAGTGTACAACAACAACAACCCAGTTGAATCCCACAACAGTAGGGTCTGGGGAGGGTGTGTGTACGCAGACCTTGCCCCTACTCGGAAGTAGGGAGGCTGTTTCCAAGAGACCTTGCCCCTACTGTAAAAGTGTAGAAGACTCAAAAAAAGTGAAAAGCCATATTCACATAGGTTACACAATTTGTGCTTTATGTAGGCAGAAATAAAGAAACATCAATTTGAAAATAGATAGCTCAAGTAATACCCCTAATATTGGCATAAAATGGATTTGATTACATTTATATGCAACATTTAATATCACTGTTGCAATTACAAAATTTGATGGATGAAAAGATTATTCTAAAATCTAATCACATAGTAACTTTAATAACACACTTGAAGAAAATTTTAATAACGCCTCCATTTATAACCTAAAGCTCAGAACACGAGACTTAAAAATTTCATAGTATGTAGCTTAGGAAACAGACACTTGGGTACCAATAATTTTGCAAATTTAAATTGTTTCTTATATTAATTACTTTCCCACAAAACAGCCTTTCAGCATAGGAGCATGTGTGATCGATTATGCATGTCATATCTTAAATCTTAATACACAGTGCCTCATTGTGTGTGTGGATACTAATGACCAATGATAAAACAACAGCATGCTGAGTAGTCTGAATCAACCTATATACCAATTGGACTTCATAAAGTGTAAAGCCAAAAACTATCTTGGAAGAAAAGTCCATGGAACCGAAACGAGAGAAACCACTTCATCAGTTAACATCTGCGATGGTAGGGAAACAACATAGAGCATCAGAGACAACAAAAGAAGAGTAGGGCATTTAAAAATATTGATCCGATCACCTCTAAAATATTAAGAACATTTTTCATGATTGATTGAATTCAGTGGGTGACTTTATGACGAACCACAAATAGACCTACATACGTAATATGTTAACAAGCTTGTTACATAAGACTTAATATTCACCACTGGTTTTATCCATTTTGTGAACACCAGAGTCTAGAAAAAAGGAGCTTACCCAAGCCTGACAGTATTGAGTAGAGGAAGAAGAATGTCAAACGAATATTACTTTTTTGCAAAAGTTTCAATATTGTTAATAATCATCTCCGGATCGTCACATCCATAATCAAATCCATAAACAAGAAATCAGAAGCAGCAAGTCTGCAACTATGGCTTCACTTATTTTTAATAGAATGTGAATAAAAAGGCATAAGATTAAAACATAAAACTAAAAGAGAATAAAATATCCCATGCCTAGACGAGAAGGAAACTAAAGGCATAAAGATAGATAGATGAACATAAAACCAGCTACTGGAGTAGCAGAAAACAAAAATCTCATGCCTAGACGACAAGGAAATAGATTTAGATAATGTCACAGGACAACACTTCCATTTAATTTGATAGCGATACCACATAAACTTTCTTTAAGATAGATGCCATGTTGTGTGAATGCAAATTTATCTCTTGAAGGAGAGGAAAGAGATTATGGCGAACCACTGGACCACCACCACGGTGGTTCCACTGAGAAGTAGAAGAAGATGAAGGGGAATCACTGTCATGCAAATCACTTAATTGCTAGATATGGTGATTAAAAATGAAGTTCACATTTTGTATTCAAGAAAATACATTAGCACATAGAAACAGCACATGTACAAGTTACACAGCAAGTTTTTACACAATGTCAGAATATGAATGTGCCCAACATAAAACACACACAGACAGATGAGAGTTTCAAGCAGAATGTGAATCTTACCTCCTTGACAAGATCACTGAGAGCTGATACACCAAGGCAAGCCACAGCAGTCCATACCAAATAAGATTTTTTCTCTCTCAAGCGTTTACACACGTTAATAACAAATCTACAATTGCAGATAGAAAACGGTCAGAACAAGTGAAGAACCCTAAGAAGCATAATCCCACAAATGAAACTTTCCCAAAACATCAAAAATCAAATACACTTCTTTCTCAATCGTATACCTGTTGACATCCGTAATATTTGGACTCGAAGTGCCATTATTTCCTTTGTTTTTATTGTTCTTCTTCTTCTTCTTCTTGTTCTTCCTACGCCTCTGCATCTTACTACCAGACTCGTTTTTATCCAAGGTCTCACTCCTAACCTTAGTTTCGAGCGATCCTGTCTCGGGAATCACGACATTATTGTCTCCCAAATCAGTCTTAGAAATCATATCGACCAACTCCCCTTCCTCAATCTCGGACATCGTAATGTCTCCGCCATCATCGATATTCTCATGCCCGGGAAGAGTAGCCGGAACGCCATCTCCGAACTCCATGAACCCTATCGGTTCAAAGCGCATACGCTGATAAAAAGAAACAAAAGGAATGTGAAAAATTAGAAGGTGCAGATATAAATAAGCCATCTTTTATTGGGCCTGAGTCCAATTTTGGTGATGCGATGCTCTTTGGAAAGAATTGCACATCCTCCGGTGATGGCCCATTGGATGTTATTATGATTGGGAGTGATGTGGAGTTTTTCTCAAATCAGATCTCAATAAATAATATGCCTCCCGTCTAGGAATGTTTTTTCTGTATTGACTTAACACACAGGAGTAGTAAAAAGTGCCAATTTTCAAAAAATGTACATACTATAAAATTTTAAATCTCTTTTTCTTATTAAAAAAGTAATAAAAAGAGTAATCCATAAAAGGTCCCCAGTTATATGTCGTTTTACATATTTAGTATCTATATATCAAATATTACTAATTTAGTCTCCAATTATTATAGTATCATTTTTCATGAATGGTCCTTTGTTAACGTTTTTGTTAAGAACATGAATAAAATTGCATATTCATATTTCTCTCTCCTCAATTAAGCTTCCTTCCTCCTCTCGTACTCTTTCTCAAACTCGTCGCTGAGTTAGAAGCTCTAAACCCAAAATTGAAAATGATCACTCTTCTTTTAATAAGTTTTACGGATGAGTTTTATGAGTTAGTCTCAAGAAATTACAAAGAAAATAAACATTAAAACTCATCCATGAAGGTTACTGGTTTCGAATTTTGGTACCACTAGTTCGGCAAACAATTGAGAGAAGAATGATAATTTCGGTTTTGAGTTCAAAGTTTCAAACTCAGCGACGGTTTTGGGAAAAGAGTGCGAGGAAAGGGAAGCAGCTTAATTGAGGAGAGAAAACAGTGTAAATTTACAATTTTATCCATGTTCTTAACGGAAATGTTAACAAAGGATCATTCGTGGAAATGAAAGTAAGGAAGAAGTCCTTATTATCCCCAAGAAATTTCCCATGGACATGAATGGATTGGTCAGTAATGTCCAGAATCTGCAGCTCTACTTTATTATAATCCCATAAAACCCATATTCTTCCAAGTGGATGACAATTGTTGTTTATTACTGATTTCAGGCCTCCAACTAGTTTTTCCTCAATCTCCTTATAGTTATTATTCCTTACTTTAGTCTCTAGAAGATACCAAACACAGTCAGCTTCTATTTATTTATAAAAGAACTTATTCTTACAATTCAGGCCTTTTATGTTCCAACAACCAATCATTGCAAGAAGGGAAAATGTCCCTTGTATGGGACAGTGAAAATTGTTATGTATGATACCAATATAGTCATCTTCTTTGCCTTCTAATAATATTTTCCTTGTCACTTCGACTCTTCATGCTCCCTTATCTTCCTCTTAGTTACTAGTCACATAAAGTAAATGGGCCACCATAAAAAATAAATACAATTGGGCTAAAACTTTATACACAAAAGAAGCCCAAATACAAAAGATATATGTAAAGTATTATCCAATTAAAATTGGATACTTCCTCTATGTAGGAGTGATATTTTCCAAACATATTGATAGTTCGTTTTAGGGAAAAGTAAGCTTTTCTTTACAAATTCTTGTTTTTTTTAAAAATAATAATTAAAATGATTGTTGAAACAGAGTGATAAAATCTTAATGATATTTTTATAGAATTATGAGCCCAATTGTCTTGATTTCAAAGAGGATGGTTTAAAGGTTTATATGGGCATCTAGATGGACCAAGGGGATAAAATGTTGTGAAAACCGTATACTCTCTAGCCCGGCCTCGAAGACTTTATTGCTTATAGATGTTTGATTTGAGAAAATGTCTTATATATTAGAAAATAGAAATGATCATTTAGAAAATCCATCCTTTTGGTTTTATGAATTTTTTTGTATGGAGTAGACAAATTGAGAAAGAGTCCATCAAATAATCGCTTTTTTCACGATCGGCAAAAAGTACTCAAATTTTGCATTGCCAACTTTTATTTCGGTTGTGTTACTTTTAATATTACTCTATCCTATACTTGCGTGTTTTAAGTCTTCGTTACTATCATAACAATTTTCTAGTGAAATTTGCATTGAATAAGACTAAAACATAAGAATATTTTCCAATGTATGACTTGAACTTTTTTATTCTCTAAATAGGACTTAATAATGACTAGTGAGAAGAATAATGTCCAAGTGATACTAGACATTTAGTTGAATAATGACTAATAGATAATGACCAATGATCCTACATTGAAAAATAAAAACATATGATCCTATATTGAGAAAGATCATTATGTTTTAGTCATATTTAGGTAAATTACCTTTTTTTCTAATGGACAAGCCGTGAATGAACTTGTTCTTTGCAAAAAGATAATTATTTGAAGCAAACACAGAAAATCTGATCTTCTTTTTCGCAAACTCTGCTTCAAATTTATTTATAATTCAATTTAAAGCCTTTTGTGTTTATTTTTTCATAGTTTTAAAAATATTTTTAAAAAAAATCTAAGTTTTAAAATATAAAAATAAAATTTAAATATATAACAATTTACTCTTATCAGATATTTGTATCACAGATTTTTGTAGTGTTATTTCAGAAACAGAGTTTCATGATGAATTATCGAGAAAAAGTTGTAATTGTAATGCCCTTTTGAAATAATTTGAAATACAATTTTTATACGGAGTACTTTAAAGTGTTCTTGTTGGGTTTGTGGAGGCTTGGGCTTGACTTTTGACCTGGTTCATTTTACGAAACCCTAGATGCACTCTTCCTATATATATTGCATACTTGTACTTGCAATTGGGACCACGAGTGAAATAAGAAATTCCTCCTGTAACAGCCGTGGATTAGGAAAACCGAACCACGTTAAATTCTTGTGTGTCGTTTGTGTTCCGTTTCTCTCTTGATTCTTGCAGATTATTTGTGTGTGTTGTGTGTTTATTTCCCAAGAGTTCTTTCCATAGCATTGGTATAGTGTCGTTTCCATGCCTTTGGTAGTGCTCATCTAAAAATCTATGTATCTTCTTAAAAATTGTATAATGTTATGAAATTAATGATTGTTCATTTACTCAATTAATCAGACATAATTTTCAGAATAGTAGATTAAGGCACCCATTGATGAGTATCAATTTAATACAGTCCTTCCCACTTGTATTTGTATTCATACTAAGCCTCTCCAATATAAATAGAGGCTTAATCCCTGCATTGCAATGATCATTAAGAATAAGAAGAAGAGTGAAGAGTTAATAGAGAGTCTATTCTAATAATCTTTGAGTAGTTTTTCTCTCATTTTATAACATATAAGTATTTTAATAATAACTTCTTCATCCCAAATTAAGTCTTACGGAAAGATATTACGGGATAGGTAATTGATATTGGCACTACAATAATTACTGGATGCACTCCACTTATTTTTTCTCTCGAAAATGCCCTTGTGCACAGTATTTTATTCTTCATAGTTAGAAAAATTGTATGGAGTATTACTTTATTTTTTTAATTAATTAATTAACTAATTATAAAAAAATCTCCGTATCCAAAAACTCTTTATTTTGTTTTCCTCTCCCTCAATACTTTTATCATTTTTTTTCAATTGTTTTTTGAAAGAAATTAGCCATTTGTTTCAAGTTCATTTGGTCTCTTTGAATTTACAGAGATTTAAAAAAATATATTGAAAAATTGTTGAATAGTGACAATGAGTAGTTGGATGTTTTATAAGAAATAAAAATATTTTAAACTACATTTTATTTTCTAAAAAGAAAGAAAAATGCATGCATTATTTTAGGATTTATTTAAAGTGAGAAAGGTGAGGATTATATAGTTTAAAGTGATTCTGTAACGCCCCAAAACATGGTATAAAAGTTATTCTATTATAAAAGTATTTTTAGAAATCATATTTTCACTCAACAAAGCATTATTTCTATGTTTGACCAAAAATGAAGGAATTTTTAGAGTCAATGATTTTTGTTAAGATTGACTTTTATGGATAGGTCTCAAAGAGACGAATCCAACTGTATATTTTATGAATAAATCTGATGTACAGAGGTTCAGTTATGACATTTTAAATATGTAATTTGTATAAAAATGAGAAAAAGTCAAAGATGTGAACTTTTGTAAAATGATTTATTGAAATAAATATTTATATTTAATAATATTGATTGAATATGAGACTAATTTTAATTACATATCAATTGATTCAATTTTGACTCTGTCAAAGTCAACACCCAAAAATATGTTGTCAGAAAAAGTATTTCAAATAAATATAAAAGTTATATCATTAAATAGAGTTTGACTGTCTGATCGCAACAGTGTAAACAGATTTTAATTTGGATAAAGTTGGACCAAAAAGTGTACCCCAATTGAAGTAATTTAATCAAACTAAACTGGAAGGAATTAAATTAGCCGCCCCCTCCACTCACCTTGATCGACGGAACGGAACGCAACTCCCTCTCCTCCCAGGCTTATATATAGAGGAATTCATTCTTCATCATCTCCATACCAAAATCATCACATTAGTTAGAGGAGAGTTTAGAGAGTTGAGAAAAGATGTCTGGAGAGCTTCCCGTCGCCGGAGCAAGCCATGGTGTTCGCCGGAAGTTTCGCCATTTTTCCGCCGGAATCATCGTTTTACTTCGAAGTAAGCATGTAGATATATCTAGTGACTAGAATGTTCGTATAGATCGTTTTTACGTTCATAAATGGTCGTTTGGTTGAGTTTTGTGTTTGACATATGTGAAGAACCAAGAATCATAAACCTTGAATTTGATGTTAAAACTTCGAATTGATGCCTCTAAAATTATCTACGAACCTTGGAGAACATTTCTATATAGTTTAATTGAAGTTTGGTGACCAGAAATGGAACTTGAGAAAAATGGGCTAGAGGTTGAAGATGATGAATAGTGAACCTTCAATTTCCTGCATTTTCCAGCGGAACGGGCGACCGTTCGGACCCAACAGTCGACCGTTACGAACATTTTTAAGCCCAAAAATGCTATTTTTGAAGCTATAAAATCCTATTTTTTTTATATACCAATCAATTATNAAAATAAAAATGATGTTTTGACAAATAAAATTTTATGTGATGTATGACGGTAAGCTAAGGTGTTAACACTCGATGCTAGGCCGCTATTTGTTATTAGATATTGTGATGATTATTATTGATGTTGTTTATGATTAGACTTTGATGAATATTATTATTAAAATAATAATTACGAATGATTAAATTATGATTAAAAAATGAATATATTGATGATTATGAAAATGATGTATATTGTTAAGGATATCTAGAAGAACTCTAAGATATACCCACTTGGAAAATTGATGATGATTATTAAGGATATCTAGAAGAACTCCAAGATATACCTCCTTGACCAATTCATATTTCGGGGTTAAAACGTACGTACGGGATCCATAACGGATATCACCCACTCGACAGTTCACTGTTCGGTTGGTACGTAATCCACATGACTCATAGGGTGGATTATCGATTCTTGTGTTCTGCATTAAACTATTTATAGTTTAAGGGCCTGGTTAGAAATATTGACTTAGACTAGGGGTAGCTAAGAGCTTGTGTAAAAATGATTTGGCCTTAGATTAAGAATAATTTAAGAGCACTGATGAAATATTTAATATTGAATATATCATGAAATGACTTAAAATAAAATATTGTGAATATCATGTATAATGTATGCTTGAAATATGTATTGTGTGCATGATATCAAATGGTTAATTATGAATTGAGATTCAATTTATATGGATGTTCGATGCATTAGATATGCTTACTCAGCTTTAACGCTGAGCGTGTAGTATGTTTTATTTGCTACATGCAGGTAAACAGAAAGATTAATAAGATCCTGGCGGTAGATGGGGCGAGATTGTCGGGATGGATGTGATAAGTTTTGAAATGATTTATGATATGTCAATATTAAATTCACTTCCGCAATATTGTTAAATACTCCGTACTGTATATGTTATGAAAAATATTATTGAGATTAATAAAGTGTGTTTGAAAAGTTTTAAATTTTACGATTACCAAGTTAAATACTTTAGTCCGAATGAGGCTGCAGACCTAGACGGATTAGGATGTTACAGATTCTTTCATCTAACCAAATTCTAACAACTTACATTTCTCTTAACATTTTTTAAAAATATTTTTTGTAATATATATCATTGAAAGTAAAGTGAAAAAAAACTAATTTGGAGCCTATGTGTATGAAAAGATTATAAATTGTATGTTGAAGGAAAATATATTACCACTCCACAATTGAAAAAAATGTTACAATTTTAATTAATTTTCATTCTACATTTTTCCAAGTTACTTTAGTCACATTGACTTTACTGAGATTAAGAAAAAGTTTAAAAAAAATTGACAAGTGAAATTTGTGTCATTAAAATTGGTTTTAGATCATATCGTTATTACTTATTTTATACACACTATTTCATAAGAGTTTTCTCATTTTTTTTGTTCGTCACAAAATGATTTTTTTTATTTTTTTCAATTTGTTTATACAAAAGAATATGTGGTTTGACATTTTTCTCATTTTTCAAAATAAAATCTAACAAATCTATTTTACTATTCAACCTTTATACATCTTTTCAGTGCTTTTTTAATCTCCGTAAAATAAGAGAATAAATTAATTTAAGATGGAAATGTTATTTTTTGTTAACACACAGAATCAATAAAAGTTAGATAATTAAACAAGTAGGTAATACTACTTCCGTCCTACAAAAAAGTTCCCATTTTGACCATACATTGGTCAAACTGTTGCACACTTTAACTCTAAATTGAATATAATCTAAATAAAGAAATGCAAAAAAAATTTGAGATATCAAAACTAGATTCTAAGATGAATCCAATTATATAAAATTTATTCCATAATTCAATATACCTTTCTCACAATTTATAGTCAAAGCGTGTAAATATTTGACTAAATACTATTTAAAATGAGAATGTTTTTGTGGGACGGAGGGAGTATTATATTCTTAAGTAAAAACAATGAAGTATTGTACACGCTAAGGGCATTCTAGGAGGAAAGTTTAAATAAGGTAAAGATGGGAGTGCATATAGTAATATTTGGAGTGTCAATATCACTTCCCTATGGGATAAAATGGTGTTTATTACAATGCTGGTACAGATTACAACGGACGGGGAAGATAAACAGTCTCGAAAATTACTCCCTCTGTCCTAATATATTTGTGCAGTTTGACTTTTTCGAGTCAAACTGGACAAACTTTGAACTTCAATTAAATAAAAACCGTAATGTATTTTAACATAAAAATAACTATATTGGATTTATCATATTGGGAACTTTCAAAATTATATTTCATTATGCTAATATGCGATATAAATTGAGAGTAATTGGAGTTCAAAGTTTGTCCAGTTTGATTCGAAAAAGTCAAACTGGACAAATATACTGGGACGGAGGTAGTAACTTTTAATAAATTCTTAATTTATAATTTATTCAGAATATTACAAAATAAACAAAACTCGAAATAAGTTTTTTGATCTTCATAAAGCTTTGTTGTACGAGGACATTATGCATTGGACTGCAAGAACATTATGCAATGGCTGAAGCACTAAGCCTGAGACGAAGACACTACGAGCGCTGGCGAGGTCATTGGAGTAGCAACGAGGACAATTTGGCTAGAACCTAAACACCAGCGATGACACTATGAACTGAAACTGCAAATTAAAAAACAAGCACCATGGAAAGACGGTGGAGTCGTCGGAGTTGTCCTTAGATAGTAGTGCCCGTCTACTGTACTATAAAACATGGGCACTCTCCTCCCAGGATAAAACCACTATCATGTGTGGTGATAGTACGTACCAACCACACACCAACGAACAAGAACAACGTCGAAACGTTGGCAACCAAAAACAGGAAGACGATCGCCAAAAATTTGGGCAGAAACCAAGAGTTCTCTCTATGAATAAGAAAGAAACATTTTTTCCCCTTCTTTTCTTTCTCACGTATAGATCATCCAAATAATGAGAGGAACCCCTTGATTTTTATAACTAAGCATTTTAAAAATGTAACATATACACACTTAATGCTTAGCATTAAACCATGACATTTGTGGCACACTAATGTCGTGTTATTGGTGATTAAGTAGCCATAAACACGTCTGTTACATTACACTCTGTTTAAAAATTATCCCGAATAATTAGAAATTAATGGCCAGTTAACTCCGTATAAATGGATCAATTTTAAACAACACGTAAAAATAATAATAGAAGATTGATTCAATAAAATTACAATCCTTACCATATTAATCTATTAACGAGTTAACTCTTAGAATCAATTTCGCATTCACTCTCCACCATTTTTGGTGTATAAATTAACAAAATATTTATTTCATTTAAGAACTTATGTTCATTAATTAACGGTTAAAACTATTAGTGGACCTATTGAAAATGCCAAAAATTCCTATTAAAATGCCAAAAATTCCAATAGTGTTCTTGTAATTCATTTAGTTAAAGTTCATACTGAAATTAAAAATATTCCAGTAGTGTTCTTGTAATTCATTTAGTTAAAGTTCATACTCAAATTAAAAATATTTTTTATATTTAAAAAACTATGTCAAAAGTCACACAAAATAAAAAAGATGATATAACTATATACTACAGAGTATATTATTTTATGAAAGCGCAAAACTAAATCAAAATTCTTGTGATGTTGGAATAATAAATTTAACTTTTATTTGGAGACGAAAAGAGTTTTAAAAATTACTTTTTCTGTTAATTTGTTTATCTTTGTAAAGTCTCGAAAATAATGTGGAGTTCCAAATTCTTTCCAAACACCACATCAATCTTGCCATTGTTGAAAAAATTTAAAAAGTGCAGTAGGTGACAAATCCCACACAAAACTACTCCGTATCTCACATGGGTAATGGTACGGAGATTAATTTTCAATAAATGTTTTGTCTTCACGTAAGAATAAATGGTTTGTCTTCCCTCTTCAAGTGACTCCCTCTAGTTATATTAAATTTATATTATAATTAACATGAAATATTTTTTTTCACAATTTGTAGGCAAAGTTTGTAAAATTTGACACAAAAGTTAAAGTTGTAAAGATTTTTTTCTTGTGATGAAAGAAATATATCATATTATGACATTAGACTTCAATGTCGAAAGAACCACCCCGTTAAAATTAAAAACGGCAACTCTAATACGTGCCAGGTCGAACTCGTACATTGCGCTCTTTTGCAGCTAATTCGCCTATATCCAAAAAAAAGAGCACTCCAAATGGTGCACCAGCGACTTATATCTGTGAAGAGATGTCTTAGTTGGCCGCCATTAATGCTGCGTTGACAGCCTAAGGTCTTCTCAAAAATGAAAGCCATCATTTTTCCCAAAACAAAAAAAAAAGAGTTCTTAGAAGAGAGGGTTCTGTCATAGCTACTGTCAAGGAAATCAATTACTATACTCAGATTATTGAAGTTGGGTTATCATTTGTAAATCAATGATCCCAAGATTCAATCTGTTTTCCCCTGCATATCTGTTTATTATCATCCAAGTCTTGGGCACATCAGCTTTGACAAATTCAGATCATTGTATGTACAGCTATATACTCGATATGTTGAGGTATGTGGTGGAGGGCACAAAATTTGTGGGACAAAAAGGAGCTGACTTTCTTTCTTTGGTGCACAGATGTAGCTATAAAGTCCCTCAAAGAAGGGTGGGAGAACGTCCCGCCGAATTGGGAGGGGGCAGACCCTTGTGGTGACCATTGGGATGGCATTGGTTGCATAGGTTCCAATGTTGTTTCATTGTATGCTATGCTTTCTACATATTTGTATCCAACTCGATATACTTCGATTCGTCTGTGTTTCTGTTATTATTATCTAAGCTTGATGTTATAATATTTGTTCTTTCTTGTAAATGAAATTTTAGAACATTAACAAGTATGAATCTGAGTGGTCAGCTGTCTGGAGACATTGGGGGCCTATCAGAGTTGCAGACTTTGTAAGTGAATCCCCTCCCCCAAGGGGGAAAAAGTTGTGTTTGTAATATTATAATTTAGGATTGGGTAGATATCACTCAAATGAATCACAACAAAATTGTACAGGGATCTGTCATACAATGCAGGTCTGACAGGATCACTTCCTCAAGAAATTGGAAACCTAAAAGAACTGTCTAATCTGTAAGAGAAGTAATGTTACACATTGTAGTAAATGCACTTCTTTATGAAGCTAAGATGAGCTGATTGTTTGTGGCTCCATTAACAGCATCCTTGTTGGCTGTGGGTTTGCTGGGCAAATTCCTGAGACAATAGGATCTTTGAGCAAGCTGAAATATCTGTAAGAATATATACTAGTTTATTTTTTTCGCCGAGAAATGTTCTCAATACCATCTTTTGATGCAGGTCATTGAATTCAAACAAGTTTATTGGATCGATACCACCTTCATTGGGTAAACTGTCGGAACTCTATTGGCTGGATTTGGCCGATAATAAGCTTACAGGACATATACCAGTCTCTAGGGGAAGCACACCTGGTCTTGATATGCTTGTAGAAACAAAACACTTGTGTGTCTCGTCGAGTTTATCGTATCTTTAAGATTCTTGTTTGTTTTGATGTTTGAGATATATATGTCCACTCTTATGTAGTCATTTTGGTAAGAACCAATTGTCCGGTCCAATCCCTGCTCAGCTCTTCAGCTCAAGTATGAAACTGATACATTTGTAAGTTCCATTTAACTGACATTCATTTTTAACAGACCATTATGACTTTCTTGATACATTAAAAAATGAGTTAATGCAGATATAATGTGCATCCATATTCATATAACTTTTGATGTATCATGTATCAGGAAAGTCATAATGATCAATTAACAGGAAAGGAAGGTATTAAGTTCCAATTAACCTAAACACCCACCTATACCGCCTTCAATTTCATTTTTGGAGAAGGGAATTTAGATATAGTGAAAAAAGTAAATTGTGGGATTCGTAAGAGTTGTGTCAGGCAAGTTACAAGTTAAAAACCGGGTTGAGCAGGTTGCTGGAGCGAAATCAGTTTGCAGGAAGCATCCCAGACACATTAGGGCATGTTCAGTCTTTGGAGGTTGTGTAAGTATTTCCACCTCTCACTTAAAGTCATCAAATATGCTTATATTTGACAGCTCACTGCATTTTTATACCTAATCTGAACTGAATGTTTGTGGTTGTTACAGTCGTCTCGACAGGAACTCATTGAGTGGTTCAGTCCCAGCAAACCTTAAAAACCTCACATCCATTATTGATCTGTAAGGAAACAGATGTCATTAAACTTGGTGTCGTAGTCCTACAAACTGTCTGCGCTTCTTTAATTAATGTAGTAGTTAGTCAAGCAATGCAACTTTCGACGTTGAGCTGGGGGTGTCTTTGGAAACAGCCTCTCTACTTTCGAGTAGGGGCAAGGTTTGCGTACACACACCCTCCCCAGACCCTACTCTTGTGGGATTTAACTGGGTTGTTGTTGTTGTTGTGTCTGCAGGTACTTGTCAAACAATAATTTGATTGGTCCATTACCCAACCTCAATGGCATGAGTTCGCTCAACTATATGTATGATTCAAAGTTTGATCCTAGAATTAGGCATTTTATCTCAGAGCGCTTTTTTTTTACAAAAAATGATAGTGTTATTGTAAATAATAGCATCAGCTGTGTAACTATGGCAATTTGAATGGAGATTTTGCAGAGACCTGAGCAATAACACATTTGATTCAACAGACTTCTCTTCATGGTTCTCTACTATGACATCTCTCACAACACTGTACTTCTCTCTCTCTCTCTCATGCGCACACACATCTACTTTTTTGTCTTTTTAACCATATTTCATTTTGGTTGACTTTGTACTGGCAGAGTAATGGAAAACACAAGACTGCAAGGACCTATTCCAGCTTCACTTTTCAGCCTTGACCAGTTGCAGAATGTGTGAGTTTGCTGTTGTGTTATGCCGACTGCACTCCATGAGCATAAAAAATTTTAATTTCATACACGCAAACTCATAAATGTTTTGTCTCCCGTTATACTTCGGTTTTTCAAGTTTGATGGCCATAGTTTTCTGATGACAGCTACTTGAGGAACAACAAACTTAATGGCACACTCACTATCAGCTCCCATTACAGCAGCCAATTGCAGCTAATTGATTTGGGGGGTAATTTTATAGATTCATTTACACAGAGACCAGGGTATAAGTTTCAGATTAGGTAAGCTGCATCTTTTGTTTTTGGTAGACACATATAGAGATTTTCTTTTCCAAGTCTTTCTGAAACTGAATGGTTCTTTGCCAGACGAGGGTATTATTGTGTTATGATTACGTTGTATTGTCTTTTTGGTTTGGCAGCCTCATTGACAATCCAATATGTCAGGAAGAAGACCTTGGAAGTTATTGTTCCATTCCACAAAAGTCTAATTCCTCTTATACAACTCCAGCAAATTGCTCACCTACACAGTGTGACTCTGAACAAATATCAAGTCCTACTTGTGCATGTGCTTATCCATACACCGGCAATCTAACTTTTAGAGCTCCTTCCTTTTCCGGCTTGGTAAACAGTAGGTTTCTTAGCCTTCAAGAGTCTATGATGCACTCGTTCCAATCTCATCAGCTCCCAGTGGGTTCAGTGTCATTGAGCAATCCAAAAAAAGATTTGGATGACTATCTGGTTTTGCACCTGCAAATTTTCCCAAATGGCCAAAACCACTTCAACAGGACAGGGGTTTCTGAAATTGGATTTGTTCTCAGCAATCAAACTTTCAAGCCACCTAAATCATTTGGACCGTTTGTCTTTGCTGCCGATTCCTATAGATTCTTTGAAGGTAATGAGATGACTCATGAAATAAAAAGATTGAGTATCCCAATCCTATTAGCATTCATGATCTCATATTGATTATCTATTTGTCTGCTCATGGTTACATTAGGTGAAGAGCCTATAGGATCAAGCAAGTCATCAAATGCTCATGAACTCATCATTATAATAGGAGCAGCAGTTGGTGGTTCTGTACTTGTGATATTATCACTTATAGTTGGACTTTACGCTTTCTGCCAAAAAAGAAGGGCTCAAGAAGCAGATAAAAAGAATGACCCTTTTGGTAAGATCATGAACTAATCTTGCAACTATGGAGTGTTTAATTATGTGATTTCTGGGTAGCTGTCATCATTTTTCTCTACACATACAGCATCCTGGGATACATCCAAAAGTAGTGGTGCTGTCCCCCAGATAATGGGAGCAAAGTTTTTCTCATATGAGGAGGTTGCAAAATGCACAAAGAACTTTTCAGAAATCAATAATATTGGATCCGGTGGTTATGGGAAGGTTCGTTCCATTTCCCCATTTCATTTCTATCCCCTTTGTGGCTATGGAGGTTATACTCTGTGTCCTCTCCTCGAGGGATTCAAAATTGAAACAGGACAATGGCTACAATTTAGTTTGGTCTTTGGGGGTGCTTGGAACAAATTTTGAACTTTTTTTTTTTTACCAAAAGGAGCTTTTTGAGGTAAATCATTGGTCAAACAACTACTAGAGGTGTTCGGCAAACAGTCTTTTGGGACAGCTTTTTGGTTTTAAAAAGCTAGATTACAAAAAGCTTCTTTCTCAAACTTTTTCTAAAAGATCTTTTTCAATCTATTTATTTTTTGCACTAAATACTCTAAACAGCTATCTCAAATATCTCATTTTACCAAACACTTTTACAAACAGCTGGTGCAAACTAGTACCTAACAGCTGAGTGCCAAACACGGCATTTATAAAATTATAATTCTGCAGGTATAAAGAGGAGCTCTTACTAATTGACGGCTTAATCTTTTAACGTTGCAGGTATACAAAGGAACTCTTCCTAATGGACAACTGGTTGCCATCAAAAGATCTCAGAAAGAATCTTCGCAAGGCGCTAGAGAGTTCAAATCTGAGATAGAGCTTCTCTCAAGGGTTCATCACAAGAACGTTGTTAAACTCATTGGGTTTTATTTCGATCATGTGGAACGAATACTGATCTATGAATTCATTCCACATGGCACACTTAAAGAAAGTCTGTCTGGTATGTCAGCTCCTATTTTTAGATTCCTAAAACTACTTAATGTGATCTAGATTTGTCTATTTGCTAAATAAACAAATACAATGTTTTTTATACAACAAATACAATGTTGGCTATTAAACCCTTTTAATGTTTAACTAAGCCAAGTTCACTGGTACCTAAGAAAGATACCAATAAGGTCTTATGTCACAGGGAAGTCTGGAATCAGGTTAGATTGGGCGAGGAGACTTCGGATAGCCCTTGGAGCAGCCAAAGGGCTGCAGTATCTGCATGACCTTGTAAACCCTCCAATCATACACCGTGACATCAAAACCAATAACATTCTGCTAGACGAACGCTTGAATGCTAAAGTTGCTGATTTTGGTCTCTCCAAGTCTATGGGAGACCATGAAGGAGGTTATGTCACCACTCAAATCAAAGGAACAATGGTGAGTGAAGTCTATATATACACGAACATTAGGGACTAGTTTTTATTAAAAATTTCTAAAATACAAAGTACAAACTGTGCCACTGTGAGAAAATGCTTATAAAACAAGCAATCACATGAGTTTTATTTACCTGGTCCAATGCTAAAAGGAATTCGAAATACTTTTCCCCAAAAAAAACATAAAAGGAGGGGGGAAGAACTGCCAAAAGTTATTTGCAGAATAACTGCCGACAATTCCCAGCCTGCCGAGAGAATACACACATCACGGGTTCAGTTTATTGACTAATATTTGTGGGGAACTAAGTACTTACACAATATTTCTCCTTACTAAAAGCCTATTTTAGAGTTTAAACTCTTAACTTCCAGTTTTTTTTCAGTTTTTCTAGTTTCTTCCAATTTCTTCCAGCTTTTTCTAGTTTCTTCCAAAATCCAACTCTTTTTATCCAACCCTAAAGAATAGGTTCTAAAAAAACATACCTCATTGATTGACACGGAGATTAAGAGAATGAAAATTGTGTAGTTGAGATTTATTGAGAAGAGAAGCAACAACATGAAGCACATATATCTTCCCTTAAAAGGAAATAGAGTAATGTTCTTCTAGACACACCAAAAAAGGAAGTTGGCAGGTTTTTGAGGGACTGATGTAGTATCTTTCTTTCCCTGGTTTATTATAGATCTGTGAAGTCTAAAAACTAGAAATGTGGAGATAGGAATGCAGCTGATCGTCTTATTATAAACTGACCTGTTGTCTTATTTGCACAGGGCTACTTGGATCCTGAGTATTACATGACGAATCAGCTGACAGAGAAGAGTGATGTTTACAGCTTTGGAGTGGTAATGCTAGAGATTGTAACGGCAAGGCCTCCTTTAGAGAAAGGGAAGTACATTGTACGTGAAGTGAAGCAAACATGTGATCTTCTTGGAGTGCTAGACCCAGCTATTCGTTCCTGCGTAAAACCTGCAAGTTTGGAAAAGTTTGTTCATCTTGCCTTTAGGTGTCTGGAAGACACGACATCTAAAAGGCCAACAATGGGAGAAGTGGTAAAAGAGATCGAGAATATCATGCAAATGGTTGGACTAAACCCTCATGCTGACTCTGCTTCAACTTCAGAGAGTTATTCCGGAATGAGCAAAGGCTCTGAACATCCTTACAGTGATGAACAGCTGTCTATATACAGTGCTCTGCATCCCAATTAAGATGGCAGCAATTTGAGTATTCCACCACTTTATTTTCCTTTGCTTAAATTTCTTCCACAGCCTTGTGACATTTGTGTGCTAAAATAGGGATGTAGTAAGATATTATTGTGACAGACTGGCTCTATGTCCCATCATTATTGGGGATGGAATCAAGTGTATAGTGCATCAAGCCATCGACTACATTTGTGCAAACTGCAACACTTAAAATGGTACATGACAGCTAGCATAGCACATTTTTTTCACAAAGACCATCACTAATACTCCCTCCATCCCAATAAAGTTCTCACTCCTTTTTTGTGACGTCTCAAAATAAAGTTTTCATTCCTTTTGAAAAAATGTATTGAATAGTTTACATGTGTATAGATCTAAGCAACACAATTCTACTTTTTATTAGCACCGTAAAAAAGCAAACTGGAACTTTACTATAACAAACTGGAACTCGATGGATTAGCATGGCTTAAAGTAATGCTCTAGCCTCCAAAAATCTACAGGGTATTTAAGAGATTGGGATCAGGTAATTGATTAGCTAATGGAGTGAATCAGTGAACTTTAATAACATACACTTACATAATACATACTGAAAAGTAATTTAATAGGGTTAGGGGAGTAAGATAGTCTAATCCAATACCTAAACCTCTTCCTGCGCAAATCCTCTTCGTAAATACAAATAAATTGGTTTTATCTTCTTATTGTAATGAGAGCAGCATGACATATAAGATGGCAGCAACATTAATAGTGCCCATAATGGGAGCATTTGTTTTGGCATAAAGCAAATCAAATTCTTCCCTCTGAGATGCACAGCATTAACAATTATCTCTTTTAGAGCTTTAAGATAAATAACATGCATTGCGTCAAAATAATGTTGTCACAGAAATACCACCTTCATTGATAATATTTTCCTTGTAAGAAGGATTGTGTCATGTCTGTGGCTTTTTTCTTGTGAAATGTACATTGGGTAGTCTTAACCAAGGCCATGATACATGCAATAAATAAAATGGCAGAAACTGATACAGGGAGCAGATTAGAAGAGTGGGCCAAGGCAGGTGTCTCTGCATTCATTGAGGCAAATCGCTCACCAGATTGCTTTTGCCTGTGTTGGAAATAACCACAATAGAGAACATTGTAAAGATTGACACAGAAATGTGTGGGCTTAATTTCATGTGTGGGTCTACATTGCACATGTTTATATACAACAAACCCCGTATAATCCCAACTCTGTCGGGGTCTGGAGAAATTTCATAGACGTAGAAAATTTAGTTTAATAAATTCATAAGTGGTGGCAGATTTCAAACTTGAAACATGTCATAGCATACCTGAAGATGTTCTTGACTGACTTCCAGAGATTTGAAGCACTTCTCTGTGGATAACCTGAATCACATTTTAAAAAAAAAGAGTATAAGATTTTTAATGAATATATTTATCAGAGAGACATGAGACCCAACCAAACCAAAGATACACAATATCTCACTCAATGGTCTCGAAATAGAGAAACACAAGACATATCACATGATCTTTAAATTAAGTCCTGCACACCTGCAGGAACACAAAATAGGAAAATAAGTATACCATCTGAAGGCACAGAATGCTCCATGGATGTCGTCCTAATTGAAGCTAGCGCCTTGAGAAGATCTCGTTCTTCATTACTGACATAAAATGATCATGCATGCAAAAGTTTAGTAAAACGATGTGATAGAATGCAGAACTGTCATGTCTGTAACATCCTCCCTCCCAAGTCTTGTTTCAATATTTGTTATCCTAAAACAAAAACAACAACAATAACTGAGTTGGATCCCACGAAGTAAGGTCTGAGGAGGGTGTGTCTACGCAGACCTTGCCCCTACCCGAAAGTAGAGAGGTTGTTTCCATGAGAAACCCGGCTTAAACTGCACATAAAAAAGGATCACACAGTAGATACATAAATCAAGGAAAGCACAGATACAATGCAAATAAAGCACCAAGCGCACAACATTAAAACTTAATCAAATAAAGTTACAAAACAAGAGTATTGGTTTACATAGCAAATAGCACCAAGCATAAAAGGCCTACAAGGCACACAACAACAACACCCTCTAGCTCAAGGCACCTACCCAGCCACTCAAATCCTATCTCTCCAAACGCTCTTATCTAAGGTCATATCCTCAATAAGGGTAAGAAGTCCTAAGTCCTGTCTAATCACATCCTTCCAACACTTCCTAGGTCTACCTTTTCACTCACTTCCCCCTACCAACGCAAGTCTCTCACATCTCCGCACTGGGGCATCTTCAAAATTCCGTCGTTTCACATGACCGAACCACCTCAACCTAGCTTCCCGAAGCTTATCTTCCACTACCACCATGCCTAACAAAACTCAATTAACCTCATTCGATATTCTATCCAGCCTCGCCTTTCCACACATCCACCGCAACATCCGCATCTCTGTCGCATGCAAATGATGCACATGAATCTTCTTAACTGTTAGAGTGCATCCCACATCGAGAGTTCAATAGTAAAAATAATTGGTATATAAGTACTTGAGTTGGACTAACAAATTGATTGGATTCAATCGTTTAATGTGGTTCAACCCAAGTATCTTATTACCGAATCTAGTTATCCTTACCTCATCCTAAATTCTATCATGGTATCGAAGCAGGTTTTGGCCCACCTCGTTTGTCAAAGTGTCCGTCTAGACGTTCATTCATAGCGGCATGTAGTCTTTAGCCCAGTTATCCGTATGGAGTATGTACTCAACGGCCTGTGGTCTGTTTAACACGATAGCTCGTTTGGAAGTCCATACCCAGCGGCTCGTGATCCTTTAGGTGTTGGCGCTAAAAAAAATCAAGGGAATGGGAGTTCATTTGCAAGTGGTCAACCGGTTAGATTCAAAATGGCTCGGTTGTCCACTTGAGGGGGAGTGTTAGAGTGCATCCTACATCGAAAGTTCAAGAGTAAAAATAATCGGTATATAAGCTCTTGAGTTGAACTAACTAATCGATTGGATTCAATCTTTTAATGTGTTTCAGGCCAAGTGTCTTATTACCGAATCCAGTTATCCTTACCCCATCCTAAATTCTATCATTAACCACCCAACACTCCACCCCATAAAGCATAGGTTGTCTACAAACCGGTAGAACTTACCTTTCATCCTAGGTGAAATCTTCATATCACACAACACTCCTGAAGCCAACCTCTATTTAGCCCTAGCTGCTCCAACACAATGTACAACATCCCCATCTGCCTGAATGACCGAGCCAAGATACCGAAACTTCTCAACTTTGGGCACTAGGTGAGAGTCAATCCTCACTTCCACCCCTGAATCTCCAGTTCGGCCACTAAAATGACATTCCATGTATTCAGTCTTGGTTCTTCTGAGTCTGAATCCTTTGGTCTCCAGGGAAAGGCGCCAAAGTTCTAGCTTATCGTTTAGTACCTGGCGTGTGTTGTCAATAAGCGCAATATCATCCGCAAAAAAACATGCACCAAAGTACTTCCTCTTGGACTCCTCGTGTCAAGACGTCCATCACCAAGGCAGGGCTAAGGGCAGACACCTGGTGCAACCCCACCCCTGATGGTTTTTACCCTAGTCCTTGCCCCGCCATACATATCTTTGATTGCGCGGGTGTAAGAAATCGGAACTCCTCTATACTCAAGACACCTCTACAAGATCTACATTGGCACCCGATTGTACGCCTTCTCAAGGTCAATAAACACCATATGAACTTCCATCAACCTCTGCACGAGGTGAATGGCCTCTATGGTCGATCTTCCAGGCATGAAACCAAACTGGTTCTCAGAAACGCACACCCCTTTCCGCATCATGTACTTGACGACTCGCTCCCAAACCTTCATAGTGTGGCTAAACAGTTTGATGCCTCTGTTATCCCAAAAAAGGCACAAATAAACATTGATGTGGCCAAAGTGTTCTTAAAAAACTTCCAAGGTCGTTACATATTTGGAACCACTCTCAGGGGCCTTAAATCCAATAGCAAATGATGCGGGGTGACAATCTGGTGCCGATGTTTAAAAGTTAATGTAAAATGGCCAATCTGTCCTTAGGAGTAACTTTTGTTGGCATCAACTCCACCTAATGTCACCGCCACTCTGACCTCTTATCTGCCATATTGAAATGCTACATCAACCTCGTCAAGGGGTCGACACATTTCAGCTGCATTTGGTTGGCAAAACATTACTCCGACTCCTGGACATTTCATAATGGTGTCTAAATGTTACCAAGAGATTGTCACCTCACAACATTTACAACTAAGCTTGAGGCCCCTGCATGAAATTCATAAAAATAAGGACCTTGGTGTTCTTATAAGATAATGGTAGTCACCTCAGAGTAATTTCTTGCAAAACAGGTACAGTTTTATAAGTCCACTGTAACTTTCTACTAGCATTCATGTGATGTTACTCTATTTTTTTCAAACAATCTTGGAAATAAGTTATAATGGTATAAGAGACCATTGATAACTTGTAAAATGAGGCTTGATTGAGAAGACTTAAACTAAAAAGTTGTACCCTTTTCTCAAACACTACTCATTTTTGTGACAAAGGGAGTAGCTCCTTTAGAAATACTTTTCCCAACATTACAAGAACAAAGACAACAAACCATAATAACTAGTTACGCTAAAAGATTCAACTTCTTGAAGTGGCCTCAAAGACGAGAGAATAACCTTTGAGGTAATCAAAACTCATCACTTTTCAAAGAAAAGTTCAAACCTGATGTTCTTAGGGATTCTAACATTGACAAAAAAATGATGATCTCCTCGCTCATGAGGTTTACTCATGTTTGGAACTCCCATATTTTCTATTTTCAAAGTATCTCCAGGTTGACAGCCAGGAGGAATCTTCAAATCTTTAATGCCCTCCACCGTTTTGACCTGTAAACAAACATATCCCCAAGACCACAAAAAATAAATGGGTCTTTCCTAAAATAGTACTGAAGCACTTAATGGACAAAATATGGCTACTTTCTAAATTAAAAATAAATTAATTAATTCACCCTTTCGGTTTATCCTTTATTACTGCCTCCATAACAAAATAATCGTCTCACTTCAAATATTCAAATAACATGCAAAATCTCATCTCTTTTAAACTATTCATTTTACAAATTGGTATCGAAATAAAAGTACATATTACATATAAAACTACATCAAAAGTTCTATAAAACAATATGTGACAAGAATATTTTATCTTATCAAAAATCAACGAAGAGTGAAGACATAAATAAAAAAAAGTTAGAGGGAGACCAAACAAACAAAAGTTAACGAGAAACCAGAATAGTAACGGTTAGAGTGTCATCCCACATCGGAAGTTCAAGAGCAAAATAATCGGTATATAAGCTCTTGAGTTGAACTAACTAATCGATTGGATTCAATCTTTTAATGTGGTTCAGCCCAAGTGTCTTGTTGCCGAATCCAGCTGTCCATATCACATCCTAAATTCTGTCATGGTAACAGAAAAGGTTTTGGCCCACCTCATTTGTCAAGGTGTCCGTCTAGACGTTCATTCCTAGCGGCCCGTTAGTTTTTAGCCCAGTGATCTGTATGGAGTATGTACCCAACGACCTGTGGCCCGTTTAACACGATTGCTCGTCTGGAAGTCTATACCCAGCAGCTCGTGGTTCTTTAGGTGTCGGCTCTAAAAAATAAAAATTCAAGGGAATGTGAGTTTATTTGCAAGTGATCAACCGGTTAGATTAAAAATGGCCCGGTGGTCCACTTGAGGGGGGAGTGTTAGAGTGTCATCCCACATCGGAAGTTCAAGAGCAAAATAATCGGTATATAAGCTCTTGAGTTGAACTAACTAATCGATTGGATTCAATCTTTTATTTCGGTTCAGCTCAAGTGTCTTATTGCCCAATCCAGTTGTCCATATCCCATCCTAAATTCCATCAGTAACTAAGACAATTATTTTTGGACGGAGAGAGTAAATAATACCAGGGTAACTAACAAAATACGGTTATTGCACCACCACCACCAGCTCTGGTGGTCACCACACCACAACCGTCACTCCTACGTCACTTATGTACTACTATCTCACATTCTCGCTACCCCCCCCCCCTCCCACCGGGCTAAAACAGCAAACATAAAAATCAAGCTCCACAAAACATAAAAGTCAGACAGGCTGGTACAAATAATTTAACAATCTGGCAAAAAAGATTGCCTTTTCCTCCAGCCATGTTGCTGTATCAGTCTGCCCAGTTTGAAGAGGAGTGCTAGAAACCAGAATACATATCACAGTCTTCTGCCCTTTTGCAGCTTTGTTGACAACAAAAAGATAGAGTATAGGACCAAATCCCTGGATACGTCGCACCCATCGCCGGCGGTACAACGTACCAGTGGTGATTTCCTCGACTTTCTCTTCCCAGCGAAACAACGGCAACTTCCTCTTCCCAGTTTACGACTTTCCCTCTTCGACGATTTCTCTTTCCCAAGTCTCCGTAAATTGAGTATGTTCCACTTCCCAGGCACGTTCCACTTTTCCAATTAAATATTTATCTTTCCCATTCTCCTCATTTAATATTTAATTTAAAATTCAATTCACAATTAAATATTATACTTAGTTTTATTTATTTTTGTTTACTTATGTTTTGAGTTTTGGTACGCCAAACCAAATGCATGGTACACCGTACCGCTTCGTACTGAAATGAACCTACCCCCCTTCGTACTCGTACCGCATACCCGTACCAAAACGTACTGCGATTTATGTGACTATGGGAGGGAGTACTATAATTGTATAGTTTCATCTAAGTCAGTTTGTCACCCATGCACTTTTTTTACTGGCATAGCTTATGATGTTATAGGGCCTTAGAGGGTGTTTGTATAAAAATGAAGAATTAAAACTAAAAATAGAGAATCCAATGATTATGACCATCCTAAGAAACTTGATTGTAGTACCAAATTCAAAAACTAGAAATATGGACACAAAAAGTATAAGGGATAACTATGTTTATTAGAATGACGTTCTAAATATGTGAACAGAAAGAAATTGTATAGGATATATAGATAAAGATAATGAGGGATGGAAGGTTCCCAAAGAGTTTGCACTTCATTGTTGATTCATAATATTCTTTTACTACCTTGGTGACTGTCCCCAGAATGGCTTCTGTGTAATCAACTTCAACTTTTGAGCATAAGTTCAGGCCATCCCTCGAAATACCATGCTCTTCCTCAACATGAATGGCCAAAAAGAGGTCGCCGGCAATGCTCCTGCAATCAATAAATCAAAAACTCAGCATCAATTAATAGCTCAGTGTATAATTTCATCACTTAGGAGTTAGGACAGAACTAAACAAAGCCAGGAATAATGAAGTTAACACGCCTGGTAGGTCACATAGGTAATAACTATTAAGTATGGAATATATGAAGTGGAGAGCATGAGAGAACAAAATATTGCATTGATGTCTAAGTGTTTTCAAATTATTCCTATTTAAAATAAAACTATATTGAAAATAAAATAACCCAGGTTTAGAGGACACAAAATAACTTCCATCTTTTTTGCATGAAATATCATTTCTATCTAGGTGACTAGATCAACTCAAGGGAAAATTTAGAAAATCCAGAATATAACTAGTTAACTCTAACATGTTGTGTCCCGTCAATCCAATGGGACTATCGGGGGGGACAAAAGAAGTAATATCACCCCTCCCCCTCCAAGCTAGAGCAAGTACAATACACCAAGCTTGTTACATGTATTCTTACTTCGTGTGCCTCTACAAACATTTGTTAAAATGATTGCAAGTTGGGAAACAAATGTATCAAAGAGTGACAAATGTAACAAAGACTAACATAGTCATATGCAACATGTAAGGACGTGATCTTTGCCTAGACAATTGACTTCATACTTTTCTAAGATGTTAGATTATCACTGATGACTTGGATACCTTCTAACCATAATATCACCGACATACATCACGAAATAGATACACTTGCCATCTTTTTGAGTGATCCAAAACAGACCATCCAAGTTTAAATACACGAGATGGAAGACATGGGCTAAGTTGCTTGTATACTACTATTGAGAATTATTTCAGACTAGTAGTGCTGGTTTGATGTTCTATGGGACACTTAGTGACTCATTAGCTTGCATCACATTGGTTGGTTTGTCTGATCAACCATGCAAGAAGTATGATACGGGATTCCCAACTATTGTGAGTACTGTAAATTGGGGTTTTACCAATAATAGATACAGTTACAAGTTTAACTAAATAAACTTTGACAAGGTCAACATTACAGAATGCATTTGTGGCCAGACATACCAGTGGTGTTAGCCCAAAGAGCAGCATAGCAGCCATTTCAATTTTATTTAGTCATTAATTTATTACTGTTTCTAAATTCTAATTACTTTTGAATTCATTATATAACAGCTTTAGTATTCATTATGCTATTTGTTTCCTATAAGTGTTCGGTTTTCCATAATAGTTAAAGTCTCTTTAGTTGGAATACAGAATTACTCGGGAGTATCCAATCTCAGTGTCTTAGGCAAGGGCAAGCGCTGGGTGATCTTTGCCAAGGGCGAGAACAATACTCCGGCTACCATAGATCAACTGGGTTCCTGTTCTTGACCTCTCCTGTTTGCGTCGTTCTACCAACATTGGACCAGATCTTGCACACATGCCCTTAACAATTTGGTATCAGAGATTGTGCCCCACCTACAGTTCGGAGTGGATGATCGACCTTTACTGCAGATTTCTATGTATAACCTATAACCAGGTTTGATATGATCATCAGCGTCCAAAGGTTGTGTGAGCTGGGACCCATCCTTCTGAATTATTCTTGCTTAACCAAGCATCTCCATTGGCATGGAGCCCTGGTCAATTGGAACAGGCAACTGAGGCAAGAGGCAACCATCAGGGTATCAGACATTCAAACCCCTCTCCAGCACGGCGGTCAGTCCCATCATTGACTGCCATGTTCTGGATGGGGTCTCGGCCACTTTGGGGACTGCTTCTGCATACCAACGAGTTTCGCACCCTGGCGGACATGTAACCACCGAATAGCCCTTCTTCTCAGAACAAGTTCAATTGTGATTCAGCCCTACCAATATCTCTATTTTCAGAAGGATAAGATTAAGCTGCAGGGTACGGAGATGTTGAGGCAAGGATATACCAAGCTAGCCATTCACCATGTTCTTTGCCAATAATAATGGGAAAAATCAAATTCCACATGGCATTTCTGTGTCAAATATCGAAAGCTCAATGTCAAAAATGTCAAGGACAAATTCCCAATCACGATCATTGATGAGTTGCACAGGCAGATTTTTCACAAAGCTTGACCTCAGTTCAGGCCTCGGGGTCAAGTACAAATCAGGCCTGCCCTGCCTAACACCGTGACAGATATCCTCTCGTGACAGGACGAGCCCCAAGCCATAGTGGTGGCCATCTCCACCTCTTTCACGTCCCTCTTCTAGAGTGTGCATTGTGCACAGGAAACCGACCTAAAGGTCAATGTCACACACTCACAGGTCATGGGTTCGGCCATCGGGACAACTGGCAGGTCTGCAAAAGGCTGGTTTTCTACAAACACAAAATCTTCCTTCGACCATCAATGCCTATCAGTGTTACACAAAATCTTCCTTCGACCATGAATACTTTCCAGTGTTTCCACCGCAAGTTCTACTAGACATGTATCCCCCCCCCCCCGCTTTCATCCGACATTGCCAACTGCCAAGTCTACCAGCAACATAAAAGGCAGACGCTCCAACCTGCAGGCTTATCACAACCCCTACCAGTTCCTCAACAAGTGTGTGCAGATATTTCTATGGACTCTGTGGGAGGACTCCCAAATTACTCCCTCCGTCCCGCTATATTCGTCCACTTTTGACTTTTGGAACTGTTCATCTAAGCACTTTGACTTATCAAATTCTCTCAATGTGTAAGCCTAAATATAGTCATGCGTGATCTTGTTTGATTTGTCTTAACATATAGATTATTAATATATAATTTCTATAATTTTTAAATATACAAATTATAAGATAAAATGGATTAAAGAAGTGTATTGGGTGGTGTGCAAAAATGAAAGTGGACAAATATAGTGGGACGGAGGAAGTACAAGGGAAATCTGTAATCCACTTTGTGGTTGACTGCTTTTAAAGGCAGCACATTTCATCGCCCTTGCCCACCCTTTCACTGCAGTTTTGCTGGCAGCCATTTTCTTTGGGGAAATCATCTGCCCCCATGGGTTACCTGAGTCCTCTGTATCTGACATATCATCCTCAGATGGATGGCCCCAGCCAAACAGGAGTGGTCAACCAGACACATATCTCCCTTTCTTCAACAGTGTGTATCCCCATAACTGGGTATCATGGCTGCCTTGGGTTGAGTACTACTATAAAACTTCTTATCGCTCGGCCCTCGGTGAGACCTCCTTTTGCATGGTATACGGGTGGGAATCTCCCAAGATGATATCATATACATCACGCACGGCAGAATTGGATGGAGTCGAGTGTGCTCTCATTGACCGCAATAGCTTCCTCTCAGCTGCAAAGGATTATTTAGTCCAGTATCAGGCTCAGACAAAGGCTCAGTATGATAAGGGGTACTGCAAGTTAACTTACAACCAGTGTTATACCCCGGGTTACTAATATGGAATCCCAAGTCCTTAAACAAATCAATGGATTAATGTCTAGGTATCTTGATCCTTTTTGGAATGAATTTATCATCAAAACCCAAATCCTAGCCATAGTCCTTTTGGATTACTAAAGGCCGAACCAATCACCCCAAAACAACCCAAACCACCATCAAAAGGAGACCATCCTGTATTCCCCTCTTTGGCCGAAAATCCTTCTCCTGTTTTTTCAACAAAATTATCATGTTTTTGACTAAAATAAGCACTTAAAACCCACCCCATAATCTGGCCAAAATCCCTCTCCATTTTAAGTCAAAAGGTGAACAGTAGCTATTTGTCTCTTTGTTGACTTCTCTCACAATCAAACAAAGAGAGTCATTCCCCTTTCTTTCCTTCAATAAAAGCCGAGCTAGGCCATCCAATAAAACCAAGGAAATCAACTTTTATAATCTCCATATCATCTTTCTTGAAATCACACACAAGATGACAAAATCCATAATATATAATCATCCAAAACCAGCCACTTAATATTCCACTCTGTCCCTTATCATATGGTCGAACTCTTCCTCAAAATAAGTCAAAAGAAATCACTTTAATCAATCATAACATCTAGTGATGATCCTCCCATATATGGTTGAATGAGACAGCCCTTAAACCAAGCCAAACAAGATCCTTATTCCCCTTAAATCATTCCACTAAGGACATATGACAAATGGACATTATTTTCTTGATTTGTAATAGGATTATGAGTGGCTGTATTCCTTGTGCATGTATGTATATATTCGGCCATAGGCCTTGGTAAAAAAACAATTTGGTAATCTCATTTCTATCAAATAATACACTTGTTGTATTCTTTGTTTAAAATTCCTAATTCTATATCTTAAGGGTGGTTACCTTAAGTGTGAGTTTAGGTTCTAGATATTTAATTAAGTGTGTTATATCTTAATTAAATTCTAGACTTAACCCCAAGTTAAGATAAGAGTGTGTTATATCTCTTAAACACCAACTTGGTTTATCCCCAAAATAAAACAACAAAAGAATTTCCTGCCTTTTTTTTCAGCCCATCCATTCCCGCATCTAAATACAATTCAAAAAGTGAGAAGGAATATGTTTTATATTGGATTTTGGATAGGAGGGAAACGACGGTAGAAGATAGTCCTGTAGGGAGAAGATTTATGAAAGTGGGGAAATGAATTTAGAAGAAGGTTTTGGTTGGGATCTATGGATGACAGAGGGACTTAGGGAAGATAGGACTAAGGGGGAGGAAGGTGGATGAGTTGAAGCCTAACAATCAGGGTGACTGGTTTGGGAACACAACCACCCGTACCAACAACTTTTCTTAGTTCCACATCATCACAAACCTTTGCGCAAGCTATTTGGGCCATTCCAGGTGCTTACTAAAAGGTTGTATACAATTAGAAGCTTAATAAAGTATAGTTTTGAGTCTAGGCTTTCTCTCACACACAGAATTCTTCCTAACAAGACTATCAAGGATGAGTTTATCTTCTCCCAACCACGCCCATAATAGAGTAACATTTGTCTAGAGTGTAGCCAATATGTTTGCAATAAGAACACTTAAGGGTGATCACCAGGTTCACATCATCGATCACCGCGCCAATGGCTAGCCTTCTACCACTACAAGTTGTTGAGTTGAAGGTGAAGGCTGAGACTTCTGCAATCTATGGAGAACAACTCTCAGAGGAACCCGTCACTGAGGACTCACCAGCCATTATGATGTGTTTAACATCATCAATAATAGATTGCAATTTGTTCAAGTAGGAAGATCTATCCGACATGTAAAGTGTGGCCAGATTGTGGACATGTATAAAGGCATTTTAAGATCATTATAACAGATCATTTTTTGCCTTTTTCCATATATCACGTCTTACAAGGATAGAACTTACCGTTAGTTTTGGATCAATGGATTGCCAAAGCAATGATACCAATTGAATCCCATAAAAATCAGGAAATATACACAACACTACTCATTTACACTTTTGCATCAAGGGTCCTACAAATAGGAAACTGATACTGCATAGTCAAGAACCAATTCCTCTGTTTGAATGACGTGGTCTAGATGATGAAGTATAAGATATAAACAAACAAGCCGTGAAGGAAAAGAAAACAAAAGTAGTAAGCAAATCTAATTTAATTTAGTCTATGAAAATTTAATTTTTAGCTGTAGAACATATTCAACTAATATCATGCATAAGAAAGCAACAAAACATCTATTGATGTGATTGTTGATTTGTTTTTATACAATTGCATAATTTTCAAGACTGATAGTTGGATACACGGTTATACAAAAAATGATAGGCTCTCAGTGTAAGGAACTGGGGTTTGTAAACCCTAGGATTCTATTGCCCTAGTTCAACATATAACTTATACTATAGGAGGGGAGCTAGAGTACAACACTCGTGAGAATATAAGTCATCAATTTTGAACACACCTTGTTTTGTCTATGCTACCCTCTCCTCGGAGTCGCATAAAGACACCATCACTGACTCCGGGTGGTATGACCACTCTCATGCTCCGCTTTGATTTTATTTGACCATGGCCATTACATCGACGACAAGCATCCGTAATTACCTTTCCATTACCGCTACATTTTGGGCAAGAAGACACCTAGAAATCATTAAGCATCTTTTAAAATGTAGTGTTTCAAATAATTTAGGTCAAATCAAGTTGGTTGCCAGCTTCAATATAAACTGCATGTTTGTAAAAATAAATAGAGGTAAAATTTAAGTATCTAAATTTTAGGGGGAAAATGAAAACGTAGTATATGTTTGGTTCAACTTGCATGAGTAGAGCTTACAGTCCCTTACACAGTAGAACATTTTAGCTAAGAGTTTCTGTTAGAAGAGATTTTGTAAGAGAGTTATGTGATGTTTGTTTTTTTACCATAAGAAAAATGAGACGGAGACTTTAAAAAAAATAGTTTGACATTTTGCTAAAAAGGTACGAAGTATAAACAATTAAGTGGTATTATTTGTTCTCGTTTAGAGTCATATCATCTACAAGCCCCATACTTATGAGATCTGCTGATCTAGTCTGGTTGTTTTTAAAGTTTAAACAAATAAACTTAATATTTTCCATACTCTTGAGATGAATTGCTAGGGCCATCACAACGTTTAACATGTGCATCTGTTACATGTTTCTCCACATGGCCAAATCATCTCATACAAATCTATTTCATCTTGTTTGCAATCGAAGCTACTCTTAGTTACGCTAGTCAAAATGTCCCTAGTTTTGTCTTCCATAATTTTGTTCCACATCCATTCCCATTCTCATATCTGACAATGATACAATACAACATGTTGACATTCCAATGCACAGTGATCCAAGCCATACAACAAAAGCGAGCCTAATGGTTAGTTCACTCTCCGTCTTTTCTTATTAAATCTTACTGCTATTCAATTTTAATTTCTGCACAAATTACCTTTCTGTCATTTTATCTTCAACCTAAAATATTAGAATAACATTTCAATATTTATTCCAAGAACAATTATTTTCACCCGTAGAAAGCTTTGAACGACTAGAACTAGTTGTAAGTCACTATATATCAAAAGTATTTTTCCCACACCACTCAGACATGATAATTACACAATACTAGTTTATCATCTAGTCATTCCTATAAACAATGCACTATGTAAGTCCATAAAAAGGAGAAAAACTACTCACGAAGCTGAAAGGCCAGAGTTATGAAACAAAAAAAAATACATGCAGAAGTACACCATATCTTTCCATTAATGTTGAATCACTGATATTACCTGGGATGCAATTCCAAAGGGTGTTTTCTCTGTCTTCACCATTCCTCCTCTCCCTCCGCAATGAGAGCACACTTTTATACAATTGTTGGACTTCGCCCCAGTCCCGTCACAACCATCACAATCCTCTAAACAAGGTATTTCAATATCACGCTCTCCTCCAAATATTGACTCTTTAAAGCTCAGGTGCAATTCACATCTACAATCAACAAGCTGACATGAAAAGACTCCAACAATAATTGAATATTTTAATAATAAACAATTCAGATTAAACATCAAATACACTAGCCCTATACATTCTTTTTCGGGGCCTGTTTGGCAAGAAAACAAGCATAGAAATGGAATGGGTTCAAAAATCTGGAAGGTATGAAATGAGCTAAAACAAAAGTGTTTGGAGAAATTTGAAATGAAATTAAATTTCAGTATTTGCTGTTTGGTGCGAGAGGATCACGGTTATCGGGGGAAGTAGGGGAAGGGGTAGACCTAGGAAGAATTGGAAGGAGGTGATTAGGCAGGATTTAGGACTTCTCACCCTGACTGAGGATATGACACTAGATAGGAACCTTTGGAGGACTAAGATTAGAATAGCTGGTTAGGAGCTCGATGCTGTAGAGGTTTTTGTAGTGTGTTGTGGTTGTTTGGTATCTTCTACTTTTGCTTGCTGGACTTTCATTTCATTGTACTTAGTCCTTTATCCTGTTATATCCTATTATATCTTTATATCTTGTTATCCTGTTATATTGTGTTCTCTACTATATTTTTTTTGTGCAGGTTGAGCCGGGTGTCTCTTGGAAACAGCCTCCCTACTTTCAAATAGGGGCAAGGTCTGCGTACACACACCCTCCCCAGACCCTACTGTAGTGGGATTCAACTGGGTTGTTGTTGTTGTTGTTGTTGTATTTGCTGTTTGGTGAGCAGGTATTCAATCAAACAGAAATGTTCATCATTTTCACTAAACTTGGCAAAACAAAATTGAAAAAAATACACAACTGATAAGAGAGAACTAATTAAAAAAATATAAGAAAATCCCTATATTATCTAACCAGTGTCCAATGAAAAACATAATAAGAATAAATAGAAATAAAAAAACTCCTGAAGAAATGCTGAAAAAATCTTAGGGGCTGTTTGTTTCAGCCTCTTAATGGGTTCAGATGTCTGAATGGTTCAGACTGTTTGTTTCAGCCTCTTAATGGTTCAGATATGAATGGTTCAGACATTTGCCTCTGAATGGTTAAGTATTATACAGAGTCTAAATGGTTAAGACCTCTTATCTGAATTGATCAGATATTTGCCTCGGAATAGTTAAGCAATATACTAGCTCTTAGGGGCTGTTTGGCAACTTCTGAATAGGTAAGTGCTGAACCAGTAAGAGGTCTGAACCATTAAGTGCTGAACCAGTAAGAGGTCTGAACCATTAAGAGCTAGTATATTGCTTAACTATTCAAAGGCAAATGTCTGATCAATTCAGATAAGAGGTCTTAACCATTCAGACTCTGTATAACACTTAACCATTCAGACATCTGAACCATTAAGAGGCTGAAACAAACAGTCTGAACCATTAAGTGTTGAACCATTCAGACATCTGAACCATTAAGAGGCTGAAACAAACAGCCCCTTAATCGTTCAGACCTCTTACTGGTTCAACACTTAATGGTTCAGACCTCTTACCCTCTTACTGGTTCAGCACTTACCTATTTAGAAGTTGCCAAACAGCCCCTTAATCGTTGTTAATATGCTAGAAGAGATCAGGCAACTTAAAGTGATTTTGTGATTTTGTGGTTGACTTTTTTACCCTGAAATGGGTATTTAAAAAGCCTGGAGTGTTAGGAGATGCTCATTTTGAAGAAAAGAAGAAGAGAGCATGAAGTTGAAATCGGCAGGTTTCAAAAGTTGAAATTGGTGGGATAATAGAGATATCAAGAAGCAGCCTATTGAGAGGTTTTGATTTCTCTGGATTTGAAATCTAAGCTTTTTTATTCACCAAACACCAAATTTGAGAACTCAATAACAGAGATATTGAAACCCATGTTTGATTTGCTCACCAAACAGGCCCTCCGTTTCTCATCTGATGCTAAGCCTTTCATCCTTTTCTTAGATGCTCATGGAAGAAAAATAGTAATGAAATGACAAGAGGACTATAACTATTAGAGCACCTCATCCTCTTGGTTGTATGGAATATTGTTTTCCATCATAGTTAATGGTACTAGATTTATGTTCCCTCCTTTGTAGTTTGTGTTTTTCTGTTATGAAATAATAAGAGGGCTAGTGCACACCATGGTAGTCAAAGTCGAGATTCTACGTAGGATCGCTAGGCTTAATAAAGATCGTAACTTGGATTGTAAGATCCTACACACACACACATATTTATGTGTGTGTGTGTGTGTATTACGGAGTATGGTGCATAAAATTCACTGCCCACTGCCCAATATAAACAAACAAGGGACGTGAATAATTTTTTATAAAAAGTATGAAGAGAGAGGTAATAATTAAAAAAGAAACTTGGCCCCAAAAAAATCACTGCCCACTAGACTTTTTTTTTTAAAAAACCCTCTAGACTAAGATAATGAAGCACAAAAGGAAAAAAACATACAGAGTACTATAGAATTAAAAAGCTTAAAATCAATTTAGTTGGGAGAGACGTAGAGTGTAGCCGTAAAAACAGGTAACAGTCCTTGGGAGATTTCATGATGTAAAAACCGAGGGGACGAAACCAAGCGTTTCAGATTTCCGCATCTGGATCCCCCTCTCTGTTTTCGATCGGCGATCTCAAGCAATTCAGCGATCTTACGATCCTAACCGTCGATCCGTACAATTCTCAGAGATGATGCAATTTTAGCCGTGATTCAGATAGGAAAGAGCCCAACGATCTGCAAAATCATACAACAGTACGATCCGAATCGCGATTTTGACTACAATGGTGCACACCACCACCTTCACATGCAGGTTTTTTAGAGACAGGCAACAGGAAGTGTTGTTTTGTATTTACATTCATTGGCTATTGAACTTCTCTTAAGCAAAATACAATTGATAAGTTTTGCAATTGAGCTGAATATGACTAGTACTAAAACAATCATGAATAGGTTTTTCCTTATTCAAACAATCATAAACTGAAATATTGAATAGGATTTTCCTTAGACAAACAATTCTTAACTGAAAAGAATGTAGCTTAGTGTATACAGAGGTTTGGGCATATGCTTTTGGTAAACTAACAACCCATCAACTTCCATCAACATGTCAACACAGAAGTCAAAGGTGGAAAGGCCAAAGCCTCAAAACTATCCAGAAATGTCTGATCTTTGAACAAAAAACAAACAAATGGAAATACTATGGAGGCAAATTAAATTACCTAATATCAAGATCCTGACGTCCTTCGCTGCCAAAATTAAACTTGAAACCACTGGAACTACCACTTACTCCAAAAAAAGGATTAGAGTCACCAAAATATGGGTTGAACATTTCAAATGGATCTGCCTATTTGGTTTGCATATTCCACCATGAAAAATCATTCATCAATAATCAACATAGAAACTGAAAAAGAACCATATGACTACAAAACATTTAAAGGGGAAATAAAATCTATACGTCCAAAAACAAAAAGGAAAATGAGCAAATCCGGCAGAGCTTATTGACGTGGATGCGAGCATACCCATGGAACACCATTACTAGAATCATTATATTCTCCTCTTAATCCAGCTTCACCAAAGCGATCATATAAAGACCTTTTCTCCGCATCTGATAGTACCTACAGAAATTCTTTGACATCATAAAGCATAGACATATCCTAGACCAATTGGGTCAAATTCTTAGCCAATGAGTTAAAAATAACTAAACTTAAATGGAACTGAACCTTATTTAAATCGAATGAGCTCTAAATATCTCAAGCTCTAAATAATATGCATGAATAGGATAAAACTGCAATTTTTGCTAAGGTTAAAAGGAATATAGATGTCACCTCGTAAGCAGAACTTATCTCTTTGAACTTCTCTTCAGCTCCATGACCCTTGTTCATATCAGGATGATACTGCTCCAAACAAGAATCGCAAATTCAAAACCCCTAAGTTATCCAATACCATGAACCAGATACACAATCATTAAGTTGTGTCTCAAGATTGTTCGCATGAAACTAAAAAAACATATTGATATCTGCTGCTGGAAGCCATCAAAGCTAAAATCTACTCCATAACTTGGTACATACCAGACAAGAAACCAAATTCCTGAAAATGTTAAATTATTGGATACAGCTGCAATGCAGTGTAGGAGAGAGACTTTCGAAAAGTGCAGAGATTCTTTCAAAAAGAGTCTAACTTTAAAGGAAGGAGTACGTTCAACCTACACCCACCCCTCCAAACCCCAGTTGGGGGACCTTACTTTGTTGTTGTACTAAAATGTAAATACCCAATGAATTCTCCATTTCCAGTAAAAGTACCCCACCCGTTTGAAAGAGCTATATCACCATAAAAGACTACATACCCATACGAAAGAGTTATAAGCATAATGCCAAGAACCACACGTATACCAGTATGAAATTTTACCTTCCGAGCAAGTTTTCTGTACGAGGCCTTGATCTCCCGCAAAGTTGCATTTTTGCCCACATCTAGAACGGAATAGTAATCGGGGCCAGATTTTTTTGCAGCGGCTAGAACGGAAGCATAACGCCGGCTATGTGTGCCAAAGGGGAAGAAAGGGGAATTGTTGGAGCGGATAAATGAAGGTGGTAAGCTGCAAAACACTAGGGTTTTGGGGTTTGAAGAAGCGGGTTTTTGAGGGAAGTAGCAGATTGGAGGACGAGAGTGGACGAAATTGGAAATTCTGTTCCCGGTAGAAGGGATAGTGAAGAAGGGACATTGTTGGCTGCTGTAGATAACTGGCATCGCCGCCGCATGGATATCGGGTGAAATCGCCCGGGGTATTCAAGAATCAAGAAGAGTGAGGGAAAAGGAAGGGACTCACTCCACTGCAAATATTTCGAACCAGCATTGCTTAATTAAACCCTCTCATCCAGCCTGGACCCAAACACACACGCACCCCATTGTCTGTCTACTAGTATCGTACTCGTGCGATGCACGGGAAGCATTTCATTATTATATTTGTCATTAATTAAAATTTAATTAATAGTTTAATTCATAAGAATAGGAAATTCAATTTTGTACTTTAGCAAATTCCAAGGATAAAGATAATATTCCTACATAATTGATTATTGATAAAGAGAAACGGACTAAATGATATTAGAACATTATTATTAATAATACATTACAAATGACACGTGTTTATAAAACAAAAAAATATTTTGGAAAACTTCCGTAAATACAACATCAGTGGTATAATCGACTATATTATTATCAGCGTTTATTAACAAAATTTTAAGGTGCTGATGATTTGTCACCTGAGAAAATGCAACGTATAATTGTCTATGACTAAAGATCGGTTTTTTCAGTAGAAGACCAACGTGTTTCAAGGATTGACCTTGACTTTTACTCCGTATTTATTATCATAGCGTATGAGGTCATTATCGAAAATTATTTTCTCTGAAACTTAAAAAGAATCATCGTATCTGAAGATGTTAGTGTGAGTCTTGGAATCACAACCTTGTGTCCAGCATGTTTTCTTGCAAAAAAATAACTTAACTTTTTTTACCCGAGGCCGACTTGAAAATTCTGGATTTTGTACTAAGATTTTGCTGATTGAATTCAAATTTGACCTACCCTGAAATGACCCGCTAAAAATGGGTCAAATCTGACCAAACCCGAACCCGACACTATAATCTAAGTTTTTTTAGAATCATTATACATTTTAATATGAACAATAGTGTTATAAAAATAAGATTATAATTATATTTTCAATGATGCCGCATAATTATCTTACTCCCTCAATCCCTAAATATTTGTCACACTTGTATTTTCGATGTAAAATATTAAACTTTTTCAATTCATTTTATTTACATATTGGTATAAAAATAAAAAATAAAATTTACATATCAAAAAACTATATAAAAAATTTTTCGAAATAAGAGGTGCCAAAAATATTTTATTTTATCAAATAACCAATGGAAATTTTATTGCTTACCAGTGGTAAGAATTTTATTGTAATAATTTTATTGTCCATAAATAAAATTGAACTTTATTGTCCATAAATATACAACCCTTGGGTCAACCGGTTATACTGGTAAGAACTTTATTGTCCATAAATAAAATTGAAAGTGTATATTTTATACTCCCTTCGTCTCTAAATAAACTTCTTTCATTTTTTTTGTCCCCAAAAAACTTCTCTTTTCTCTTAAAAAACCACTTTTACTCCTTACTTTTTCATACCTTACCTATCACATCATATCTTTTTACTACTAATAATCTATCCATCACATCCTACTTTTATCCATCTTATCAAGGGTATTTTTGGAAAGTCGATACTAAAATATCTTTTCCTTAATTTCTCAAAAAGTCAATAAAGGAAGTTTATTTAGGAACGAAAGAAGTATATATTTTATAGAACCCAATATTAGTCCCAATATTAGTCCTAAGCCCAATCATTCACCGGCCCCAAATATATCTATAGGAAACAATTTCTATAGTTGGCCTTGGAAAATAAATACCCACAATCGGCCCACTCGAAGCAGCCCAAATAACACCAGCCCATCAGTGATGTAACCCATTAATTTTGAGCAAGAACACTGTTCAAAACAGCCTCCTACCATTGTGTGTGTGTGTGTGTGTCTATATATATATATATATATATATATATATATATATATATATATATATATATATATATATATATATATATATATATATATATATATATATATATATATATATATATATATATATATATATATATATATATATATATATATATATATATATATATATATAAAAAACACTATTTTCAAACAGCTAGTTTTATCAAACATTTTTAATGATCAGCCAATTCACCGTGCCGGTCAAACAAACTAAACTAAACAGCCATTCACAACTGTTAGACGAATTGCCAACAGCCAAAAGCTTATGGCTAACCTCCAAACGAGACCAATGTATATGATAGAGCCGGCTCTACCTAGATACATCAAGATAGTTCATTCTGAACTAAAGTAGTATTCATTCTAACACAAACATAATTGTTCATTTTGAAATAGTGTGCTGCTCATTCTGAAATAACGTAGTACTCATTTTCACATATTTGTTCAATACAATTATAACATTCATATATGAATAACGTAGTGTTCATTTTGAAATAAAATAGTAATTATTCTCAAATAATTTAGTGTTCATTCTCAAGCAAAATAATATTCCTTCTCTCATACCCGACCCGACCACACAACTATAGGGTCTCGCGCCTCTCTTCTGATCGACAACAGCTTTCTTCCTCGATCGACGAAGCACCTTTCCTTCCTCGATCGATAGCAGTTCTCGTTTTCCGTTATCGGTGCGCCTCTCCTTCGCTGATATTCGATCAGACTAATTTACAGAGCACCCCTTCGACTTCCGTCGCCCTCCTTCACCCATTCGATTTCGTCGACATAGCTCTTCTTCCTCTTTCATTTTACTAGTTGTATCTAATTTTGGGTACAGCGGTTAGGGGTGTTCATAAACAAGTCTGGACCGGATTTTGGACCTGAACTAGACCGGAATGGACCGGTCCGGACCGGTCATGAAGATTCAGGTCCGGTCCTCGGGTTTTACAAATTAGGGATTCCGGGTTTCCGGTCTGGTCTGGGTTTGACCCGGAATTTTCAAGTCCAGACCGGAATATATTATATAAATTGTATCCATTATTAATTTCAAGCCCAAAACCATTAGATCCAGTCCATATAGTTTTAGATTCATGAATTTCATTTTTCGAATATTTAGTTTTTAAATATTTTATTTTAGATTATTATTTGAATAAGTTATAAAATAAGTTTTGATGAATTTGTTGCTTCTACTTATAAGTACTATTTTTATTAAATACTCTGAACAAAAACTTGTTATTTCAATTTTTTTCTAAATTTATTTAATAATTTAATTCATTTATAAGATTGCAAAAAAATATTAAAAAAATCCGGTCTAAAGTAGGGTAAAACTGGACCGGACCGGAAAAATCAGGTCCGGTCTTCTGTCCTAAAAAAATTGCAATTCCGGTTCTGGTCTTAAGCGGTTCCGGTCCGGTTTTGGACCGGTGCACACCTCTAACAGCGGTTGTATGATATAATTTGCGATATACATAAACTTGTTTTCATTTTTCTAATTTTCTTTTATTTCCTTTTTTATCTTTCTCAAATGGGTCATCTGCTCATCTCCCATCTCTCTTCATTATCTTCAAAACATTCTTTTTCTTCTTCTTTTTCCTTTCTTTTGAATTAGAATCAACACTCCTTGTAAGTTATTTCATCATCTCTCATCATCTTTTATTTTTTTCTTCTTTCTTCTTTTTTATTTTTTACAAATAAATTCTTGAAAGGGTAGGGTATCTCCAAAAATTTTAATATTCAAAAAAATAAAACGAGGTAGAGTGTAATAAGTCAACTCTTGTGAGTAACCATCCGACTTTTTGTCCAATCCATATAGAATATCTAATATCCTCACTCATTAGAAACTCTTGTGTAATATGTTTCTTTCTCCATTTATAAAATGAGGTTAAAAGGATTTGCTTATAATTTCAATTCTGAATTATTAAAACTGTAAAATGTCTGTGAATCTAAAGTTTGTATGTATTACAAATGATTATTTTCTGTATCCTTTTTCTTATTAAATGACATTTTATAATATAACTTTTGATGTACTCCGTATATATTTTTGCATGTTGTACTCGTAACATTGAGTTCGTGTTGTTTCATGGTAAACCTCGCTTTGTAAATTTGTTAAATAGTGATGCATTAATATAGATCAAAGATGTGTGTTGTTTTGTGATATTGGGCATTACTTGAAGTTTTGTGACATTAACGAAATTCGAGGGCATTACTTGAAGAGCAAAACACAAAATGTGTTATACCCATATTTAATGATGATTTTGCCTCTATTTTTTAAATTTGATTTCATACTTATAAATTAAAGTTTTACTATAATTTAAACAGATTAAAGAGTGTTTGTGAGTAATTTCTTATGCAAAGAATAAATACCGATACTACTTGTTTGTGCCGAAGTTATCATAGATAGTACATGTCTATGAATTGTACGTCTTGTTTAATAGCATCTTAAATGACCAAATAACAGAATATATGTTAGAAATATTTATTTAAATGAATATATGAATATGTACTTGTCTTTCATCATATTTATGCAAATGGAAATATGTAGTGGACATAAAAAGTATGAAGAGAAGTTATAAATAAAAATTGCACGTGGGTTTCTTTATGCATTTGTAATGCAAATTTGAGTATCTGAATGTCTAAAGAGCAACAATACTTCATACAATGTTTTGCTATTACATTTAGAGAGTATTCATATACAATAAATGTCTTCCAAAAAGCAATCACAACTAGTGATTGTATGAAAATAGAGTATATGGATAATACACTTGTATTATTTATAAATAGTAATATGACCATTTTAAAAGCATAAATTACATGTCATAAATTATCTATATATTTTCACAACATATACACATTTACATACTTCAAATCATAATCGCTACCTAAAAATGGAGAAAACATCACATCTTCGTGCACGTTAAGCAATAAAAATAGTAATCTAATCTCTATATGTTTAAATTCTACACCCTTCACTTATCGCAAGAAGGATACCTAGAAAACAAGATAACTAAAATGACATTTCAAAATCACATATCAATAAACTAGTATTATGAGTGGAGATTCAAATGGGTTCATCTTAAATGAATCAAGTATCATAAATATTAAACAGTGGTGAACAGAAGCGACACATACAATTAAAAATGAGTTCCAACAGAAATAATTATTTTAAATTTGAAAGTGTAGAACACAATTTTGACTTTTGAACTTTTATAATGATTTTACTACTTCATCAAAATAATACGGAGTAATTTTAGTACTTGAAGTCAAACAACCACATTAACCAAGAAAAACACAAACTAAAAAAATCACATATAGTAAGAATATGGGAATTCCATACCAGAGCAACTACGGACAATGACTTCTTAAATAACCAAATGTTAGAGAAGATGTCAAAAAGTTTTTAACTAACACGGATATAAAAAATATATGTGTCTGTGTCACAAACATTTAAAAAATGGCTAAAGATTATAATGCTTGAGTCACAAGTATTTAAGGTTTGTGAAAAGAACAAAACAAACGTATCCGGAAAAACAATCACAGCGAGTGATTGTATGACAATAGATTATATGGATAATACACTTGTATTATTTATAAATAGTAATATGACCATTTTAAAAGCATAAATTTACATGTCATAAATTATCTAAGAATTTTCACAATGTATACCCATTTACACACTACAAATCATCATCGCTACCTAAAAATACGGAGAAAACATCAAATCTTCATGCACGTTAAACAATAAAAATAGTAATATAATCTCTATATGTTTAAAGTCTACACCATTCTCTTATCCCAATAAGAATACCTACAAAACAAGATAAATAAAAGTGACATTACAAAATCACATATAAATAAGCTAGTATTATGAGTGGAGATTCAAATAGATTAATCTCATATGAATCAAGTATCATAAACATTAAACAATGGTAAACGGAAGCGGCACATACAATTAAAAAATGAGTTTCAACAGAAATATTTATTTTAAATTTGAAAGTGTAGAACACAAAAAAGAACATGAAAAAGAAAACCGATTGAATAAGAAGATGAAGAAAAAGAATAAGAGGGGAGAGGAGGATGTTCTACAGTACGTGGAGAAGAGAAAGGATGGAGAGATTACTTTTTACATTAAGTAGGATAAAAAAGTTTATATTAGAGGACAAAAGTGGAAGTATATATGGTAGTATTTTATAATTATCCAAATCTGAAATACGTAGTAATTTCAAGAATATGAATTGCATCGAATCTGCTTCCAATGTTCAAACGTTCCATTTAGATTTATTATAACAGTGTTTCTTTTCTTTGAGATAAATACTTTTTAATTTATAAGTTGATTCCGGAGTATAATTTAAATATCATTTCGTAGAAATAAAATGACTTAGGATTTGTTCTTTGAAAAAATTTAATTTGATTCGAATAAATTCTTATATGAAAGCAGTTATATTTAAAATTATTTCTGATTTGGTCTGATCTGAGCTAAACTCATTTGAATAAGAAAAAATAATAAGAATAAGTTGAAGAGAACATACGCTTAAATTATAGATAGGTCATTTAGGAAAATTCATAAATGGTGAGATATACTTTTATAAATAATTTAGTCAAAATGGAGAAACAAGAAAAGTAACTTAAAAATAAGTACGTAGATCTACTTATTTTTGACTTATAAACAACTTATAAGCACAAATATACACAATATCAGTTCACTTATAAGTAAAAAATAGTTTATAAGCAATTTTGACTAGTCTATAAGTACACAAAAACACTCACTAAAATAAAAGTTTTATATTTTTATTCACAATAAAAGTTATTAAGTCAATATATAATACAAAAAAAATACTCCCTTCGTCCTGGAATTATCTTTTTGCTTGTTTTTTTACGATCTTTAATACACTACTTTGACTCTTAATATATTTATCTATATATAATTTTATATTACAAAAATATAGTAATATTTTAAACATTTATTTCAAGATTAAATTCTTGATATTACATTATATTATAAGTCAATATACGTTTTTCCATATTTATGGTCAAAGTTCAAAACTTTTGACCAAGAAATAACAAACACAAAGATAATTTGACAGAAAAATGTATTCATCTAAGCAAACAGGAACAAAAAAATCTAGGGTATGTTAGAATAAAAGACCAACGCTAGAGGAGGGGTGAATAGCGTTTGATCGTAGAAATCGCAGGAATTAAAAATTTAAAAGAGGAGTAAAGAGAAGAATAAGAGGCACACCGAATTTTACCCTGGTTCACCACAACTTGTGGCTAATCCAGCCTCCCGAGAGACTCTCTCGAGCTACACTACTAACTCGTTAAGCTTACGGGTGCTTAACAAACCGTTACAACTTGAGAGTTCGAGTCACACGAACCTCAACAAATCCTTCAAAGAAAACAGACCTTCCTTTGAATCAACCGAGAGAGATGCTATCTCTCAACGTGTCTAAGAACACAAGTACACTCAAGAACGAGACTCTCTTATAGAGTAGATTATGAGTAAACAAAGTACGCTCAAGAACAACTCAACCTTCACACAAGTGGCTCTAGAAAGCTATGGAAAAAGATGATATTTGAATGCAATGAAAGTATGAGTATTGTGAAGTGAGTTAGTGAGAAAAGCAGACCCAAACACCCCTTTTTATAGTGCAAAATTAGGCTCCAACGGACCAATGCATTAAAGGAGTGATTAGCTTGATTTATGGGATTGAAAAGATTTGGGATCTGCAGAATATTGGCTTCCCATCGATGTTTGGAACTTACCCATCGCTAGTAAGCCAATTTTCCTTCAGTTTTGAAGTCAACGGTTACCTACCCATCGATGGGTAAATGCTTCCCATCGCTGGGTGGGAGATTGACTTTCAAATAAGGAAAGAATCAACCTTTAATGACCACCAACGGTCATGCCTTCCCATCGATGGTTAAGCCTTCCCATCGCTGGGTTCCCATCGATGGGTAAAGCTTCCCATCGCTGGGTAAGA